ATATTTAAAAAACCAAAATTGTTCAATTTTCCATGAATATAAGAAAACATTTTATGTGTATATTGTAAATCTAAACATGAATCCAACAAATAAGCAAAGCTATGACGACAATTACTAGAATACAAATAATGATTAAAAGTTTCAATTCTGGTATTAAACATTTTGACATCTCTATGAATTCTAAAAATAGGAGTAACAATTATAATATTTGTGTGATTAAGTAAAGCAAGTTTTTCTTGTATTGAGGTAACAAGTTTACTGTAGTTTTTTGTTGTTTGGAAATCTACATCACCTATTAGTATTACACAATAGTCATCCAAAGTAAAGTTTTGCAATTTTTGTTCAATACCTAATAATAATTGGTCCAAAAATATTAATCATTATATAACTTCTTTCCACGATTCACTAAAAATAAGGCAAAAGTAGTTTTATGTAGCAAATAATTTTGGCTTTATTTTGAGACCAAATTCAACTGTATACAAGTTTAGCATATTTTCTATGAAAAGTGCCGGGTCTCCTTTGGCTACCTCATAATATGTAATTATTTTGCAGTTGTAAAAAACTACAAGCTAATCAACCATCCTTCCGTTGTCTTGCACAAGCAGGCTAGTTAATTGATGTAAAACGAACAATATATCTTCCAAAGGCTGAAACAACATTTATGTTATACGTATAATTTGATTTCCTTCATTAAAAAACGATTACTTTATAGCGATAGGTCATACGCTGTTTATGCTACCATTTTGGTATTTTTATTGCGATTTTTAATAATGAAAAGGTTAAAATTTATATATACAAATTTCGTTTAATAAAATTTAAGATTTTACTTAAGACCCCCTTAGAAATGATTTTGACTATTTCCAATAGAAATAAACAATCAAATGAATTACTACGACATCAGAAATATGTTTTTGTTGTAACATAATATATTAGAATTTTGATTTTCCATCTCGTTAATTATCAAAAAAAAACATCTGACCTCCGTGAGTTTTCCCAAAACACAATGCAGGTTTACCCGTATTTTGATATTAAATTAAATAGAATTACTATCAAATCTTTCATAAAACTAATCTACCATTATTGAACTACTAAAATATTCATATATTTTCTAATTACTTTATTAATAATTATTTTATAAGACTCGAAACATCACCCGTCAAATGCAATATTACTATTGCAAATCTATCTACGCGCTGATCAGTACGGCAGCGGCGCAATTTTGAAAAGGGCTCATAACTAAATCCGTGACAATAGAGCCCACTAAGTAACACGGTTTAGTGTACCACATAGGGTACATAAACGAATATAAGATTGTGCATTGCGCCTTTTGCCGCTCGTATTGAAGCGACTATCCATGAAAATAATGTCGATCGTATTTAGGAGCACAAAAAATAATACAACTTTTTGTGTTATTGTATTTCTGTCGATGAAGGAGCTCGATGTCGCAAGTGGTTAGCGCGTTCGGCTGCGATCGTTGAAGTTAAGCAACTTTTGCAGTGGTCGGTAATTGGATGAGTGACCAAAAAATTTACTATCTGGAGCTCCTCCGTGCTTCGGAAGGCGTTAGCACCCACCAATCCGCACTGGGGCACGTTAAGCCGTGGGTCCTGGCTGCATCTGCAGTCGTTCGCACCCACCAATCCGCACTAAGCCCGCGTGGTGCGTCATGGCCCAATTTCCCTATTCCATCCAAAAGGGAAGGCCTGTGCCCCAGCAGTGGGGAAATTAATAGGCTGATGATGATTTCTGGCGATGAACAAAGTTTCCATGGATTTAAGGGTAGAACATCAGGTCAGCTTAAACTGCTCGTGGTACTTGATACACTTGCTATTGCAAGTTGCGTCAATATGTTATGGAGACTGGGTATTAGGTGGGTCTTTATGTTGCGTTTTCCACAATTTTTGTACAGGGTTACAAAAATACAAATAAAGCTTGAAGGGCGTTGAAGTACATCATATAAGGAGTCATCTCTAATTTTCTTAAAATATTTGTGTGTTTTTATAAAAAGTTAAAACTTCATGCAAATATTTTAAGAAAATTAGAGATGACTCCTTATATGATGTACTTTAACGCCCTTCAAGCTTTATTTGTATTTTTGTAACACTCTGTATAGAAGCATAACTTGGTCTATTTATTCCACGCGTACCATATAGGAAACACTGGATTATTTACATGCAAGGAACAAGTTTTTATAGACACAAAATGTCACAATCTAAAAAAAAATTATCCTAATATACACCGTGTTCCTGAGGTAATACACTAACTTTGGCATGTTATTCAGACTATTAAATTGATAATTTTTTACTATGGACACTTTTATGAATTCCAATTTTTCTATCATTTTTTATTTTCATACAAACTAAATGCTTAGATGTAATTTATCTAATATGAATTACTCTTTACCTGAGCTGGCAACGTCGCATTTGAAACCTTGGTTCACATGTCCATATAAACTTTTTGAAACTTTTCTTGACGTCAGCAATGTTTTTTAAAGTTTTGACTTTTGAAACTATGACTTAATGACCATTGACAAAGAGTTGATAGTTTGATATTTTTGGTTGCACAAAGTGGCAACATCTCACAGATAAAGACTCATTCTCACCGAACAACACAATTAAGTTGGTTAAACTTAAATTACCAATAACTTAAAAACTATGCTATTTAAACTACTACTTTCTTTGTACGATATATTCAACAAGAGCTATAGAAGTTTTATTCAAAGTTTTAGTATATCCTCAGGAACACGGTGTATATATGTTTTAAGATATGGGTGCCAGCAGTGTCGCCTTATTAACACATCATATTATGGGTATGACGCCCTATATAGCCTTGTACAAATACTTTAGATCTGTAATGAACAACAGCTGTCTTCAATTGTGTAACAACAACTTGTAATTCATACGAATTAGACTATAATTGTGTAAGTAGTTGATGGTACCACAAGGTCGTAGGTTTTGTTTAATGAGCGGTGCAAACAAATTCCTGCGGACTTGCAATGCATTTTCGCACAACATGTTATAAGTAAAGACCGTTTAAAAGTAATAGTCGGTTTCCAGCAAACTCAAAAATTTTCTGACACGTAGTGCATGTCTTATCTATTAGACAAGTCCGTCTGTCTGTGGTGCTGTTTCAGCGGACAAACCGTAAGAGATAGATAAAGAGAATATTTAAGTTATAAGTTAAGAATAGTCTGATAAGACTACAAACCGGATTTGAGTAACGTAGCACTTCCGGTTTTCGAGAAATCAGGTTTTGGTGAACGTTTGGTTCACTGGTTTACTAGTTTAATTATAAACTAGCGGCCCGCGTTCGCTTCGCTTCGGGGAGCGAGTAGAGCTGAAGTGTAGACTACAGTTTTTGTTCTCAGGCTTGTATTATACACAATGACATTCATCCATGATTCTTGTCCTGACCTGCATGCAAAGTCTCAGCCCGATCGGTTTAAAATTGACAAAGTTTCATACAAACTTTCATTCCCTATTTTATCCCCTTGGGGTAGAATTGATCAAAATCCTTTCTTAGCGGATGCCTACGTCATAACATCTACCTGCATGCCAAATTTCAGCCCGATACGTCCAGTGGTTTGGGCTGTGCGTTGATAGATCACTATGTCAGTCAGTCAGTCACCTTTGAGTTTTATATTAGATTGTTTGACGAAGAACTACAATTTACCCTCCCTACAAACTTGAACAGTCACCATTTTTTTATTGTCTAATTTAAATTCGTATCGTATACGATACGAGGAGTATTGAAGTAAAAGTAATGTTATATTTTTATTATTTCATCAGACGGGTCTGCTGTCTGGGGGCCATTCGCCTAACGAAAACGCTAACGCTTACGATTTCATTTTGTTAATTCTAGCCGCCTGAGGTTTTCAAATGTCTCGCGCTCTTTTTTTTCTTTTGCATTGGTAATAACAATATTTAAAAAAGATTGCGTAAGGTATTTGAAAACCTTCGGCGGTCAGAAATAACAAAATAAAATCGAAAGCGTTAGCGTTTTCCAAAGCATTTTCGTTAGGCGAATGACTTATGGTCTGCGTGGATGTTTTCCTTCTATAATTTTCTTTAGATTTAAACATGTAGCAGTTAAATTCTTCAAAAATAAAAAAAATACTATAATTGCTATTTCTTTTTTTTTTCAAATGTTAAATAGTTGTAAAGGTATTTTATTTGACATTGTGGGTTACCTACAATGCGAAGAGATGGCGCTGCCTTGCAGCCTAAGAGAAAAATCGACACGGCCTTCAGGGCCGCGATAGCATAATCGTCAGTGCATCCGCCTGGATAGCGGAGGGTTCGGGTTCAAGTCCCGTCAGCTGCCTGGTCCGCGTGGATTTTTTTCTAGTAATGTTTTCTTATAAAAATATATTAATAGTACTGATCACTGCTGTTCGGCAATGCAAATAACAATGGTAAGTCTAAAGAAAAGTTTACTAGAAAAAATTCCACGCGGACCAGGCAGCGGACGGGACTCGAACCCGCACCCTTCGCAATCCGGGCGAATGCACTGACCAATTTTGCTACCACGGCCCTGATGGCCGCGTCGAAATTTTCCTAGACTTAAGCTGCAAAGCAGCGCCGTCTCTTTGCATTGTAGGTAATCCACAATGTCAAATGAATACTTTTTCAAGTATTAAACATTTGAAAAAAGAAATAGCAATTATAGTTGTTTTTATTTTTTAAGCATTTGACTCAATTCAATTCAATTCAAATTGTTTATTACAGACAACAAAATGGTCCATCAAATATAACATAACTGCTAGATGTTTAAATCTAAAGAAAAGTTTTACTAGAAAAAAAATAGACCTTGTTTTTAGCGAGTCTCCGATATTTCGGCACTGTTGCAAGCGCCATGATCACGAATCTTGCAACGGTGCCGAAATATCACTAAAAACAAGGTACATGGTAACAATCCCTTAAATAACTTATATTGCTATAATGTTAGTGACCATGAAAGTTTAAAACAATATACTAAAGTTAATATTGTTTTTATGGCAGGGCTTATCGCGGGTGCTGGCGGGCATCGACCTGGCGTTGCAGCTCGGGTACAGCCCGCTCAAAATAAACGTCGTCCTAATGAAAGGTAAGTTTTAAGGGTCCCGTCAACGATATTTAATACCCTAGACACAACAATAACTTTGAAAATCGTCGCCGAAACCTGTCCAAAAGGTACATTATACGATCCATAGAGCTTCGTAAGATGATTGCGTAGTGAAAGCAATTGATGGCATTATTTCAACCCTAAATACAACACCACGAACAAAATTGTCGCCGAAACCTGTCCAAAAAGTACGTTGGACGATCCATGGAGCTTCGTAATATGATTGCGTAGTGAAAGCAATTGATGGCATTATTTCAACCCTAAATACAACACCACGAACAAAATTGTCGCCGAAACCTGTCCAAAAAGTACGTTGGACGATCCATGGAGCTTCGTAATATGATTGCGTAGTGAAAGCAATTGATGGCATTATTTCAACCCTAAATACAACACCACGAACAAAATTGTCGCCGAAACCTGTCCAAAAAGTTCGTTGGACGATCCATGGAGCTTCGTAATATGATTGCGTAGTGAAAGCAATTGATGGCATTATTTCAACCCTAGATACAACACCACGAACATAATTGTCGCCGAAACCTGTCCAAAAAGTACGTTGGACGATCCATAGAGCTTCGTAAGATGATTGCGTAGTCAAAACAATTTATGGCATTATTTAAACCCTACATACAACAACACTAACAAAATCGTCGCCGAAACCTGTCCAAAAGGTACATTGGACGATCCACGGAGCTTCGTAAGATGATTGCGTAGTCAAAACAATTTATGGCATTATTTAACCCCTAGATACAACAACACGAACAAAATCGTCGCCGAAACCTGTCCAAAAGGTACATAAGACGATCCATGGAGCCTCGTAAGATAATTGCGTAGTCAAAACAATTTATGGCATTATTTCTAATCCAATTAAATTAAATTTTACAGGAGCTGTATAAAACTGAATGACATACCTCCAGTAAGCTTTTGACATGGTTTTTAATTTAGTAATTTTAACACTGTTTAAGGCGTTTTCGAATGATCTATAAAATTTTAATCTCAAATAATATTTGAGATTCAAATTCAACGGGCCCGAAACCTCCGGACTGTTAAAAAAAGTATTTTGACCAGATGCGTGATTTTACCGTTTTGTTCGCCAGCTCCTCATTGAATACCGTGGATACAACAACACGAACAAAATCGTCGCCGAAACCTGTCCAAAAGGTACATTGGACGATCCATGGAGCTTCGTAAGATGATTGCGTAGTCAACACAATTAAATAAGCATTATTTAAACATTCAAAGTCACCTTGAGTGCACAATGTATAAGGTCTTTATATTTAAACGAATGTTTCTAAGAGTTGTTGCTGTAGGCGGAAGAATATAGACTTTATTTCTTTGACTCTACGCATAAATTCTGAATGCGGTGCTAGCAATATAGCAGATATGGAGCGCGAGGCAAAAAGAGAAGGCTATATAAACGACCATGCATTTGAATATCACAAATATTTTCTAATAAATCAGTTTATAGTAAACATTACATCAAAATTTGCTTCAAATGCGTTAAATTAACAAACACTGATTATAAGAAGAATGCTGAAGATACCACTTGAAGAAACGACACTTTAAGTTCCATAAGTATTATAGAGCTTCGTGAAAGAATTCGATTTTTCACGGAGCTCTGCAGCATCTTGACTTTTCAACGGTCCGCGGTTCCTTCTGTGAACCAAGAAGTGCTTGAGTAGTGTTCAAGCACTTCTTGATTGGGACACATTTTGAGCGCACGTGGTTTATTGTATCTAGTGCTTGAAATATCATTGTGTTGTGTATAAATGGAAGCCTTTTTATCTGATGGTGTTTGACACAGGGCTGTCTTTTCAATGAAAATAGACACCTGAAATTTCCGCAGTACGCTTGTCACTGTGGCCGCTATCACAGCAAATAGTAAAAATATAATAAATTTATAATTTTTTTCGCCCGGATAGCGAAGGGTGCGGGTTCGAGTCCGTCTGCTGCCTGGTGCGCGTGGATTTTTTCTATTAATATTTTCTTTAGATAAAATATAGCTTACACTTTAAGGGCCTGTCATAGCTTCATACATAACACGTGTGAGTTGTTTTGCTAGTTTAAGGTTAAGAAATTGTTATCCCTACCTATAGTGTAGTCCTTTCGCGAATCCGATTCGCACTTAGCCGTTATTTTGATAATCCTTTTTATGTGGTCAACCGGTTGGTGCATTTAGAGTTTGGCTTCACATAAAGGTGAATAACTCAAGCGTAACTGATGTTACCTGTATTCATGTATAAGACAAGTGTGGAGATATTGCCTATAATAAATTAATAATTTAAGAACTTGGCATCACGTCCTCACCAGCCTATTAATGTCGTACTGCTGGGGCACAGGCCTTCCCTATGGATGGAAGAGGAAGATTTGACCGTGACACACCACGCGGGCCCAGTGCGGATTGGTGGGTGTTATTTTTAAGCATGTAACTGCTTGATGTTTAAATCTAAAGAAAATATAACTAGAAAAAAATCCACGCGGACCAGGCAGCAGACGGGACTCGAACCCGCACCCTTCGCAATCCGGGCGAATGCATTGACCAATTATGCTACCGCGGCCCTGACGGCCGCGTCAAAATTCTTCTAGTCATTCTTAAGCTGCAAGGCAGCGCCATTTCTTCGCATTGCAGGTAACCCACAAGTTAGGGCCGCGGTAGCATAATTGGTCAGTGCATTCGCCCAGATTGCGAAGGGTGCGGGTTCGAGTCCCGTCTGCTGCCTGGTCCGCGTGTAATTTTTTCTAGTTATATTTTCTTTAGATTTTAACATCAAGCAGTTACATGCTTAAAAATAGCACCAATCCGCACTGGGCCCGCGTGGTGTGTCACGGTCAAATCTTCCTTTTCCATCCATAGAGAGGGCCTGTGCTCCAGCAGTGAGGACATTAATAGGCTGGTGGGGATGATGGTGATGAGGTTGTAAATCCATATTCATTACATATTCGTTTAAGAATAAAGTTTTGCTACTTTCAAATTATTTCAAGTAGTTACCTTGATGTAATTGTGTGAACACTAAGTAAATAAATTATTTTAAGTAGAGCCGGTACCGGTTTAGATATGAAACTTGTTTCGTTACTTAGTAGGTAAGTACCTATAATTATGCAGGCTTTGCTTGTACAATAACAAGTGTTAGAGTTTATATTTGTTTCTTAGGTTTTCACACACACCAGTCATTAAATAATAGTTATTTATTATACAAGAGTGGAAAGTTCCTTTTTAACCGCGTGCTCGATTTGGATGACCGAGCAAGCGAAGGATTCTAAAGTTGAATCACGAGCGCAGCGAGTGATTCTAAATTAGAATCCTGAGCGTCAGCGAGGGAAACAAACGAGCACAAGGTGAAAAATCTTTCCACTCGAGTGCAATACGTAACTTTTCATCCCACCTCAGCGAGGAAATGACAAAATGAAAAAGAAAACAATTTATAATGACAAAATATTTAAGCAATAAAACGTGAAAAACTAGAATGGCGCGAAGCACGCAAATAAAACAAAGAAACCAAGAAGGTTCCAAATTTAAATTTTTTCACAATTTAAAAAGTTCTAATCATAAATTTGGCACCATAGAGGTTACATTAAATAGGTTTAATGACGTTTTGAATTTACAATTATATTGAGTACTCATTATATGTGATGTTCTAAATTCAAATCTACTTTGCCGCTCAAGCGAATAAAATAGAATTTTCCAGCCAGATTTCGAAGCGCAAAATTACACTTTCCGAGGTGGTGGGATGAAAAATAAATTTCAACGGTATAGATGCACTGATTTATTTATTTATGACGTTTCGCATTCTTTTTAGGCTGCGTCATCAGAATAATGATTTTATTTAGTTTGTCGAGAAACCTTCGCAAGACTTTCATTTCATCATCTTGCAATGAAATATACGAACGCTCAATAAAATATTTCGCAGATAGTTCGAACTTAGACTTTATCTCGTGTTTTATTCATATCACTCAATAGCCATTTTGTCATTCAATGAACAGAGACAAAATTTCATCATCAGCCTATTAATGGGGATATTAATAGGCTACTGGGGCACAGGCCTTCCCTATGGATGGAATAGGGAGATTGGGCCGTGACTTACCACGCGGGCCCAGTGCGGATTAGTGGGCGCTAACGACTGCAGATGCAGCCGGGACCAACGGCTTAACGTGCCTTCCGAAGCACGGAGGAACTCGAGATAGAAGATTTTTGGTCATCCATCCAATGGCTCATTCTTCGTTTATTAATAAGGGGATTAATAAGGGGCTAAAAGTTTAATAACGTAAATTTAGGGTTTTCTGATGCGTATATGTGTTCCAATATATGTATTTTTGCCAAGCTATATTTCGCTTACGTCTGTAATGTCGTTTCTTCTAGGTTTCAATGATGACGAGATTTGCGACTTTGTTGAGCTGACACGCGATCGTGATATCGAAGTAAGGTACGAATCGATGTTATTACAAATCAACAATGACACAAATAAAAAAAATATTTAAATATAATACCATAAAGTAAATATTAGATGAAACTTAAGTTCATACTAAGATTTAAAATTGCGCACTTTTGCCTTCGTTCTTACAAACTTTATATCTCAGATTCTAAGCTTTACAATAACAGAGAAGAGAGTACTACTAGAGTTTTTTAAACACAGAGGCCAGTCTATGTGTACATTCGTCTTATATTGTCACTATTTGACGACCTCTGTGGCCGAGTAGTTGGTACGCCGGTTTTCATGGTGTCGCCGACTCGAGAGGTCCAGGGTTCGAATCCCGGTGGGGGCAGATGTTTGTGTGATGAATACGAGCATTTGTACTCCAGTCGTGGATGTTTAATATGTATTTCTATATAAATATCTCTTATCTATTATTATCTCTGTGGTGCTGTTTCAGCGGCCAAACCGTAAGAGATAGATAAAGAGAATATTGAAGTTATAAGTTAAGAATAGTCTGATAAGACTACAAACCGGATTTGAGTAACGTAGCACTTCCGGTTTTCGAGAAATCACGAATTTCAAACGAATCCACACAAAATCTCCGAAGTTCTCAATTAATTAAATACATATATATTTTTTTTAAATCAGGTTTTGGTGAACGTTTGGTTCACTGGTTTGCTAGTAATCTGTATAATACATGTATTTCACAAATTTAATACAATGTCTTAATTTTATGTTCACACATATATACATGTATAAAACATGTAGCATACAATACTTGTGTTAAACATGTTGGATACACAAAATATGTGAAAGAAATTGATTTGTTCTTGTTTTTTGGTGTAAACGCGGGGTGTCCGGTTTATGAATTTAGACCTTGTAGAGTTACCCCTCGTGTAATAGAACGGAAGTTTTAAACAGTCACAACAAGTATTCTACATGCTTTGTGGAAAACTAGTATATGACTTGTTTCTTGGTGTAAACTCTACGACTTCAAAAAAGTTACTAGTATATGACTTGTTTTTTGGTGTAAGGGGCCGTTCAAGTAATACGTAAGCAGAGTTAATACAATTATTTACCCCCTCCTCTCCCTTGTCAGCAAAAGTAAGCAAAGCTCTTACTCCCCCACTCAAGTGCTTACGTAAACATTGATACCTCTATATGCTTTTTTCCTTTAATGTATTCTGTTTTTTTTTTATTCATTCATGAGCTTTCATGAGCTTCATGAACAGCAGTACTTAAATAGCCTTAGGATAGAGGACTTTAACACACATAATATTCATTGAAACAAACTTTATTGATACAGTATTCAACATTGAGTAAGGTCCTATTACGAACAAAACCAACTTCTTTCGAATTTTTGGTTTACATAGTATTAGTATACAATCTTCAGTCCATGACACCCGAATCCATGATGCTGACGTAATCACTATCTCGACCCCCCCCCCCCCCCCCCACCCCCCATGTCATCAAAAATAAGCAACGCAAAGACCCCCCTGCCCCCCTAGTCATAAACAAGTCATATACTACTTTTGGTGTAAACCAAGAAACAAGTCATATACTAGTCATATTTTTTTTAAGCTTGTAACTACTTGATGATTAAATCTAAAGAAAGGCTAACGAGAAAAAAAAAAATATGTCATATACTAGTTTCGGTGTAAACCAAAAAACAAGTTATATACTAGTTTTGATGCGTGTAATAGTGTAACGCTGGTGACCCATTTCTGTTTCATCTTTTCCATAGGATTTTTCACTTAGACCCAGTCCGAAAAGAAATTATACTTTAAAAATGAAAACATTGTATAAAATTGCTTCAATACTATGCTGGATTTATACCTTGGCGTAAACGAGGGGTTAGAAGCTTGGCTCTACATGAGATTTGATAACTTTTTGCCAGAACAAAACTGTGTATCCTCATAGAGGTATAAGAATAGAGCAATGGATATATAGACTCTACTACAAGTGGAAGTGTCCCTGTAATAGAAAGAGAAAGAAGATGAGAGACCGCTAGCTATCTCTCTCTAATCGCGCATGCGCATTGGCAACCGTGAGCATCTTACTATTTCGATGTGATGCCATTGGAGATAGCGAGCGGTCTCTCATCTTCTCTCTCTTTCTACTAGACGAAGACTTTTAGAGTCTCCTTTCCTACTCTATTCTTATACCTCTACTAGTGGCCCACCCTCGCTTCGCTTCAGTGTAGAGTTGTAGTGTAGACTATAGTTTTTGTTCTCGGGCTTGTATTATACATAATGACATTCTTCTAATACCTAATTAGAATAGGTTCGCGCCGCCGCCAAGCCCGGTAGCGTCGGAACTGCTATGTCCCTGCATTTTAAATCTGTAATATCTTCGAAAATATTCATTTAAATTACATGCGTTAAAGGGCCAAATTGGTCTATATTAAATGCACAATGTATTTAAGGTACTTAATTGGATAAGGATGAATGTTATATTGCTGAAAATCGCTTCGTAAATAATCTATTATTTCTCGTAAAAAGTATAGGATAAAAAATGGTTATTGTGGGTTATCCTTAAGAGATAGACATATACCATCGCGGACTTTTTTGTAGACCTTTTTAAGGTGTACAATACTGTAGTACATTATTTTGATCTATCTCGTAGGGTCCAGCCAGCGTTTGAAATGTAAGCGCAAAAAAAATGTGTTTTTCTACGACCTTACATTAAAAACCTCTAAAATTATCAGTGTTTCTCTACTATATTATGCATGTATTATACATATAAACCTTCCTCTTGAATCACTCTATCTATTAAAAAAACTCGTATGCAAAACCGTTGCGTAGTTTTAAAGATGTAAGCATACATAGGGACATGGGGATAGACAGCGGGAAGCGACTTTGCCACGGTAATAATATCATACAGTATTCTATCTTCATACAAACGGTCGGAAAGCGAGTCATACCTACGCCACTCGAGTTCGATGTGCTCTCGGCGTGCACCCAGGCGCGAATGTGCCGCCGCGCCGCAACTACGACCGAACGGTCTGAATTGTTTTTTATGCAGTTAGCCGCGTTTTGTATTGTAAATATTTGATTTAATTAAGTTACTTAGTTACTACATAATTTAGTATGGAAAAGAACAAACGACGATCAATATCGTACAACAGCACAATTGCTGTTTTTGGTTGCTTGAACTCTTCAATAACACACCCAGAGATATCATTTCGGTGTCTTACCTTTATAGAATATTTTTTATATACCTATCTACTAGTACGTAATTCGTTTCTAATATTTAGGTATTTCGGTTTTTCCATCGGGCAAAATATCTGGAATAATATATAAATAAGTGGTTAGGATGAAAAAAGAGACAAACGAGTAATCTACCTACACTCGCGTTAAAAACAAAACTACATAAAATACTGTAGGCTGGCGGCCCTACCGCGTGTAACGGAGCGCTCGGTCGTAGGCATTTATTTCAAGGACAGGGCGGAGTCACAATACTGTATAGATAATATTACCGTGACTTTGCTTTGTACTATTTAGTGATGTGTATCCTATTCTCTAGGTTCATAGAATTCATGCCGTTCTCCGGCAACGCGTGGGACGACAGTAAACTGGTGCCGTACAGACAAGCGTTACGGGAGATATCGAAACGATTCGAAGTGGAAGGGGGTGGCAGAGCGGCGGGGGATACTGCCCGGATATGGACGTTGAAGGGACATCGCGGCACTGTAGCGTTCATAGCTTCTATGACGCAACCGTTCTGTAGTACTTGTAACAGGCTGCGGTTAACTGCCGACGGGAGTCTTAAGGTAAACTATTTAATAGAGACAACGATTATAATTTTTATTTTTAAGCATGTATGTAACTGCTCAATGTTTAAATTTAAAGAAAATATTACTAGAAAAAAATCCACGCGGACCAGGCAGCAGACGGGACTCGAACCCGCAACCTTCGCTATCCGGGCGAATGCACGGTAATGTCATGTAATGTATATGTAAGTGCATGATAGACAATTACTTATATTTATATATATTATATAAATTACATATTTACACTAGTGGTCCGCCCTCGCTTTGCTTCGGTGTAGAGCTGTAGTGTGGACTATAGTTTTTATTTAAAGGCTTGTATTATACACAATGATTTTGCTTCATAATAATAATAAACCTTCCATTATAAGTAAAAAGGACGTAGCGTAGTTTAGGACCCGTTGTACCGAATGCAACATTGCTCTGCTGATCCGATTTGAGAAATTCTTTTTGTATTGGACAGTGCATTTATCGGGGAAGGCTATAGGCTATATATTACCAGGCTGCGATCAGTAGCAGCATAGCATCGATAAAAATGTTTCAAAAACGGCTAAAAATATTCCATTTGTGAGATTCCGTTGCGTTCGCTGGGTAAACGGTTAAAGTTACACAAAAATCATGTATCACGGAATTCTTCCCCTTTATAAGTTCTGTAAAAAAGCCCACGACAGCCCATGTCCATATTTTAAGTTTGACTCACTTTTTCTTCAAATTAACGCGGGTGAAACTGCAGGAGACCTGTAGTTGGGACATAACTAAAATAGTTAGACATATGGTGTTGTGGACTTTTTGTAATAAAGTAACAGTTATAGGTATTCATATTTATAATATCAAAAGTATTTATTAATCTGGAACAACGGAACCAAAGCGCGATTCAGGAGACTACAGCGCCATCTCTTGACCATTGGTGTAGTAGAACCAAAAACCACATCTTTATTTTTTGTAATAAAGTAACAGTTATAGGTATTCATATTTATAATATTTATCCACATGTTTCTAGTTTGTATATTCGGAATACGTGTTTGAGTTTCATACAAGTGCAAATCACATATGTTGTAATAAATTATATTCAGTAGCGATTTTAATTGAATATTTTGATTATTTATTTATTTTTTCAAATTAAAACTGAACTTTATTGACTGTGTCCTTTTCCAGACTTTTTATTAATTTATTGTAATTAATTATTTGCATGCAATTAAAAACTAATTTTAAACGATGCCAAAGAAGGATAACTTCTTACGCGCCTACATAAGTACACGCACCCATTTTTTGTAGCTATTGGTATTCTCCATAAAACTTCAGTACATAACTTTGCTCTATTGTCAATGACTTCCGCAGCGTACGCGATATAAGGCTATTTTTTGGGTATATGTATTTTACACACTACATTATCGAAGTTTTCATACGGAACCCTAACTTTTTTGAAAATACACTATAGTGATAATGAAGCATTCAAGTGGTGAAAGAATTTTGAAAATCGGTCCAGTACTTTTTGAGCCATTTCATTACAAACATACTTACATACAAATCTTTTATCTTTATAATATTAGTATAGATTGCTCATCTGACCCCACAAATTTTAGACCCATATCCGTGCTACCCACCTTTAGTAAGATTTTTGAAAAGATTATGCTAGATCAAATGCAATCATATTTTTATAGTAATAACTTTCTGCATAGTAAACAATTTGGTTTCACAAGGGGTCGCTCAACAACCGATGCCGGTGTTGAGCTTGTACAGCAAATTTTTGATGCCTGGGAGAACTCGCATGATGCACTTGGTGTGTTTTGCGACTTATCAAAGGCATTCGATTGCGTTTTTCATGAAACATTGATCAGGAAACTACAGCACTATGGATTTAGAGATACCACTCTGGATCTTATTGTATCATATTTGAGTGAGTTCAGAGGGTTGACATCAATGGAGTAAAATCTCCTGGTTCGTCGGTTACGATGAGAGTTCCGCAGGGCTCAATCCTTGGTCCTTTCTTATTTTTAATTTATATCAATGATATGCCTTATTTTGTAAAGGATAACCATGAAATAGTATTGTTTGCGGATGACACTTCACTTTTGTTTAAAATTAAACGTAGGCAGTCGCAAATTGACGACGTGAACAAGTCTATTTCTAAGGTAGTCCACTGGTTTAACGTTAATAATTTACTGCTAAATGAAGGGAAAACTAAGTGTTTGAAATTAGTTTTACCTAATGTTAAACAGGTAAAAACGAATGTAAATATAAAGGATCGAAATGTGAGCCTTGTAGATACCACAGTGTTCTTAGGAATCACACTAGATTCAAAGTTGCAATGGGGCCCACATATTGATAAATTGTCGAAGAGACTTAGCTCTGCAGCATATGCTGTAATGAAAATACGTCAGTTAACGGATATAGAAACTGCCAGATTAGTCTATTTTAGTTATTTTCATAGTGTAATGTCTTACGGTATTTTACTGTGGGGAAATGCCGCCGACATTCAAACAATATTTGTGTTGCAGAAGCGGGCTATTCGATCAATTTATAATCTTAAAGTTAAGGACTCCTTAAGAAATAAGTTTAAAGAAATAGGCATAATGACGGTTGCATCACAATACATATATGAAAACTTAGTATATGTCAAAAAAAATATTAGTTTATTTACTAAAAATAGTGAAATACATACACTTAATACTAGAAGTAATAATAAGTTAACTTTACCTGCTACTAGGCTCCACAAAATTAATAATTCGTTTAGAGGCCTCTGTGTTCGCTTTTACAATAAAGTCCCAAGCAATATTCAAGAGTTAAGCCTGACTAAATTTAAATCGACTATTAAAAAACTCTTATTAAGAATGCTTATTATAAAGTGTCTGATTATATTACAGACAAAAATGCTTGGGTTTGAACTGTTCCAACCATTCCAACGGGTATTTCTATATGATATATATTATGAATCATGTGTTGATGATACTTCTATTGAAAAGCTGTATTTAAAGCTGATTACGTAAGGAAGAATATCAGACTATTAAAGAAGATTTGAATGACAAAACGGCGTGGTCATGATTTCTCCATTGTTTTTGCTTTGTAATTGTTTGCAGTGTCCTACAGATAAATGACTTTAAGTTTAAGTAAATATGTTGTGGTTGATATAGATGGTTATGGGTAGTCATGCTCTCTTAAAAGTCTCTTCGGTGGTGTCGTGTGAGGCGGGTCGTTACGTTCCCTAAAATATGGTTGAGCGAAGCGATGGCTGGTTCATGCGTCATGCTCGTGAACGGATGCTGCCAGCGGAGCTGAGTCTACCCTAACTACTTTGATATTTAAGATGTAAATGTTTAATTACACCTATTATAAATAACTCTGTTTGTATTTATACTGTGTGACACAGCAATCAAAATGCAGGTGTACAATTAATGTATAATTTCACATTGTGTAATGATAGGTGACTTCATGAATCATCTCTGAAGTCATTTTTCAACTTGACGACTCTGTAAATGATAAAACAGGGAGAAAAAAACAGCCCTTGCTGAGTTTCTTGCCGGTTCTTCTCAGTACAAGGTCTCCTGCCGTAGATTTACGAACCGATGGCGTAGCTTCTAGACATTCATATGTGCTTGTAACAGCCTAAACTGAATAAATGATTTAAAAAAAAAACAAAAAATCTACTCTGCTGGCATACTACATCTTCTTTTCCGTTTAGCTTACCAATATCGCGAAGGTTGTCTGGAAGAAATCGCTTTAAGCGATAAGACCGCCTTTGCCCATATTATTGTTAAATGTATTCTTTGTACCTATGTCCTTTTGTGTGTGAGAAATTAAGTGTTTATTATTAATTGATGTGTAACATCTTTCCTCTCGCTTTCCTGCAATTTGAGGGAGTGATTACGTGAATTGGGACGGAAGTGTGTAACAGGAGGGCGCGAAAGCGCGCGCTATTTGATTTGCTTTTTGAACATAATGTTCAAATGGCTTATTCCTTTTGTAGTAGGTTTTATTTCTTTTTTTAACTAATATAAGGTGAGGTTTCAATTGTTACACATCATACGCGACTACTGTAAGGCTCGCTCCTTTTTGAAGTTATACTTCTTTAGCCGCGTTATGAAAAAATTATGAGAGTGAAATTTTAAGATGCGCGCGCATCACTGTAACACAAAAGTAACATAATGAAGTTAGCCGCGGGCGCGTTATGAAAAAATCATGTGAGTGAAATTTCGAGATGCGCGTGCATCACTGTAACACAATAGTAACACCATGAAGTTGGCCGCGGGCGCGTTATGAATGTTAGTGTCTAATAATAGTGGATTATTAACCACTTAGTGGTTAATAATCCACCATTATTAGACATCTGTTCGAAAGGTACTTTGAACGATCCACGGAGCTCCATAAGATGATCGCGTTGTCAAAAACAATGTTGGCACGCTCGTCGCCTCAGATCACTGTTTTCATATTTATAATATTTATCCACATGTTACTAGTTTCTATATAGACACAACGTGTTTTAGTTACTTACAAGTGCTAATTACATATGGACTAATAACTTAAATTCAGTAGTGATTTTAATTGAATATTTTGAATATTTATTTAATTTTTCAAATTAAAACTGAACTTAATTGACTGTGTTAACTATCCTTTTCCAGTCCTTTTATTATTTTATTGTTATTATTAATTATTTGCATGCAATTAAAAAATATTTTTAATGATGCTAAACAAATATAACTTCTCACGCGCGTACATAAGTTACACGCATCCATTTTTTTTTATTTTTATTATTATTGTCAGGTATGTTTGTTCGGCGAGGCGGAAGTGTCGTTACGCGACGCCATGAGGGCGGGCGCTACGGACAATGAGTTGGAAGCGCTGATCCGAGCCGCGCTCCACAATAAGAAGCCACAACACGCTGGTAAGATCTTCAGCATTGATTATATATCGACAATGGCTAGGCAAAATTCCTTATACGCCACTTTGGTCGAAAATGAGTTATATTATATTGCCATTGGTTAAAAAAAAAACACTAAAAATTAATGTCGCTTCAGCGTTGTGACCAATAAAAATCTTCAAAAAATGTAATTGCTTAAGCGCCAAAAAAAGTATCATAGGCGATGAGGAGGTGACAAAACACCTCGAGCCTCTTGTATTACGCCGTGACGTGGCGTCACTTAACGCGTTCTATCGTCTGTACGACGGCGAGTGTTCTGAGGAGTTATTCTCTCTTATCCCACCTTCTCCTTTCCTTCAGAGGACCACGCGCGCTGGCCTACGTTGTCACCGTCTTACTGTGGCCACAATTCCAACGCGTACAAAGAAATTTGGTGACTCATTTCTTTGTCGCACTATCCGTAAATGGAATGCTCTGCCCGCTCACGTGTTCCCTCCCTCTTACAACCTGGGATCCTTTAAAAGAGGCGTGAAGAAGCAACATGCAGGCCGGCAGGGTGAGGATGGCTAGTGTGGCAGGTAGAACTGCTGTATCAGCTATCTTCGCGTCTGGACTTCACCTTCACTTAACATCAGGTGGGGTGGAGTCATTTGTCGGACTTATCCATAAAAAAAAAACTCAAATCTTCACGAAATATAATCAGATTCGAAAAAAAAATCTGATTCAAATGATTATATCGACAGTGAAGGAGCAAAATCGCTTATACGCTACTTGGGTGCTGCATAAGAAGTAACTTTTTCAGATTTTGTTTAATGTAAATTTTTAAGCAGCACCAAAGTGGCGTTTAAGCTGTCATGCTTTCCACCGCCGGTATAATCATTTGAATCAAATTTTTTTGAAGTGAAACTTCTTTACGCACGCTATAAGCTGGCGAATGAGTTATTACGAAAAGTGTGTTCGGACGAGCGGGAGTTAAGTGGGGGATATAAGCAAGAGGTAGCAGTGTGCGCGCACATTTCCCTTCTCTCTTTTATAGCTAGTAAATGAAATAGTAAATATATATATATATATATACTAGTTGACCCAGCGAACTTCGTACCGCCCTAAAAAAATAGGGGTTGTCCAGCGGACAAAATTGTGAATCTAAACCATTCTCAGATCCCCTTGAACACACACAAAAAATTTCATCAAAATCGGTCCAGTCGTTTAGGAGGAGTTCAGTGACATGCATACTCACAGAAGAATTATATATATAAAGATAAACATACAGATGGAGATAAAGAAGTTTCACTTCAGTCGTGTGGTATAAGCACACGTTTTTTGTCAGCGTCGATCTGTTTATATTTCGTGAAAATTGCAATTAAATTTTTTGAAGATTATTGTTGTTTACAATGCTGAAGCGACATCAATTTTGGTGTGTTTTGAACCAATGGCGCTTAAGCCCTACTATTTGGCGTATGATTTGTAAAAAATGTAGGGCGGGCCGACTGATCTATTAAGGGCACTATTGAATTTTCAATTGAAGGAATATATAAGTATGTTTTTAATTTTATGGCGCTACTTTTCATTTACAATGAGTTATGATTTTTCATGTGAAAAAAAAACTGAACAGTTTCGTTTCTGTAGTTGCTAAAGTGGCGTTTAAGCAATTTTCCTTTCCTGGTGTCGATGTGCTGAGTTCGCAAACATTAGTCCGAATCTGAGATTTGAGGATTTTTCACTTAAGCAAGTAAACAAATAAATACACAATGCTTTAATTTCCACTTTTTTGCTTTAAAGTCGGCTAAAAATGGTGACAAACAAACATAGCCTACCCGTTGGTATAATGCGATTCAACTAAGAATAGGACCGACTGGGCGCCATATTTTGACGTCATAGCTGTCAATTCAAACTAAATAGGTAGAGTGAGCAAAAAAGAGTTTATATTTAATAAAACTTATTTACTAAGATTAAGTGAGAATTAACATCAGATTTTTTAATAAAATTTATTTACTATGATTGTGAAAAAAACAACCGATTTTTAATAATATTTCTTTATTAAGACTGTGTGAGAAAAATCATTAATCAGAATCTAGCTCTTCAATTACGCTCATCTCTGCATTACCGCCGAAGTAGTTATGAGTAATCACGCAGGTCACATACGAACATGCATCCTTTAAGTAAACGAAATTTTTAAATCGAGTTTCTGAACGCAACATAAAGTGACATTTGGTTGACGATTTAGGTTATCAACCATTCATAGCTAAAGCTCTATGAATGAAAAAAAAATCAACCAATATTAATTATCAATATTTGTAATAGTTTGTTTGAAAATGTTTGATTTTTATTCTAGAATTAGCAGAGTGCTAAAAAAGTGTTCCGAGATTTTTTTGCAAACCGTACTTTTCAAGCGTCATTTGACAGATGGAGGTCATTGGCTTTCTTATTCTTATTTGAATCGCATTTTAAGTGGCCGAAGTAGCCTATAAACGCTACCGATTTTGCTTACTATAAATACCTATAATCATACTTACTTTGAAACATATTTTTATTGGTGTTTGCGTACTCGGCTTATGCCGCCGCTTCACTTGGCTAGTCGTGTTTTGTAAACATGACATCAGTCTATCCTTTTCATTCCTCGTAGAACATGATAAGGTCGGACCGATGCCAAGTTTACAAATAGCAAACACGAATAGCCAAGTGAAGTGTCTGCATTTCTGTAAACACAAATATTACACACAATCGATCCGAGACTCGGGCGGCCTGTGCACACTAGGAAGGCAATAGTATGGTACTTTTCTCAATTCTGAACTAAAATATCTCAAAATTCATCGCAGTCATCTCATTACGGGTGTATTCCGAAATATACATCAGTATACTGGCCAGTGGTAATGACGTCACGAATCCGACGCCATATTGTACTGGTATGCTACCATATTTTTACCTGGAAAATGAATATGACGTGCGTGAGAAGCATTCAAATTGTATTTCTTTTTATTTAAAGAACAATAACGGCATCCGAACAAAAAGAATTCCTTTTAATTGATGTGGTGAATAAAAAGTATTCTTTATTGGAAGTATTTTTAATATTTCGTCGAATTATGACGTCAGTGCACCGGCCACTATATCTTGGAACAATTCACCAGTAGCCAGTATAGCGTCGATTCATGACGTCATTAGCACTGGCCAGTATACTGAATACTGGTATATATTACGGAATACACCCTACATCTGCTATTTGATTGAATGACTAGCGCGTTCATTGAATGACGACATTTAATTGAATGACTAAAGGACAACTCGTCAAGTTGTTTAATGTAACGTTCAACGTCTTAACAGAACGTCATTTAGCATAGTCGTTGAATGGGATATAGCCGACTTTGTAATAGGGTATTTGACAAGTTTTAGAAAACGATCCCACGTTATTTATTAATGTTTATGGAGTCCATAAAATATGGATATTTTTAATTCTGTTGTGTAATTCTGTAAAAAAAAAACAATTTACAAGTTGCCGCGAAAACGTTTCTCTGGACATTAAGGCGTCTCACTAGTGTGTGACGTCACACGACTGTCATTAAAATGTGAAACGATACAATATAATGTCATATTGGCCGGAAGTATACTAGCGTGTGACGTCATTTTAGTCTTGGCCAATCACAAGCGTTTTCGGTCACGTGACCATGGAACAAAAAAATCATTTCTATTTAATGAGTTTTTAGAAAAGTTATTAATTATTTGTTCTTTTAGAATGGTAATATTGTTGCTATTATTCATATTAAATACAGATGCCAACAATTGGTAAATTATTTTCCATTCTGTCAAATAGCCTATTATGTAAGTAAAGGATAAATACCATATTATTTACGACAGATTCGTGATACGTGGGTTAGGTTAGTGTTGTGACCTGAGCTTAGCGCGAGCGAAGCGAGCGTGCCACGGCAGCGGCCGGCGAAGCGCCAGCCACCTGATAGATAGATAAATAAATAAATAGGTATTTGTAAGTTTTTCCTCTTTCTTCCTGCTGTTTGACGCCATATTTGTTTTGGTGACTACTTGGGCCGCATTGGGAAAAATTTAACTAAATTTCAATCACCTGACAGATTTTACGTCCGTTCTGTTCAAAGCGACGCTTGTTCAATCAACGTTCGGCCTAGTCATTCAATTAAATGTCGTCATTTAAATAAATAATAAATATTTCCGACACTCACACCAATTAGCCTAGCCCCAAAGTAAGCACTATAAGGCTTGTGTTATGGGATGCTAGGGTAACGGATAGAATACATACACTGTACATATATAAGTATATTTATTTAAATACATATTAAACATCCATGACTGGAGTACAAATGCTCGTATTCATCACACAAACATCTGCCCCCACCGGGATTCGAACCCGGGACCTCTCGAGTCGGCGACAGCCATGAAACCCGGCGTACAAACCACTCGGCCACGGAGGTCGTCAAATTTAATGAACGCGCTAGTCATTCAATCAAATAGCAGATTCAACCAGATGACGGCGACATATATACTTTCAAATCCTTCATCCGACTTATTTAAACAAGATTACTACTTTTCCTAACATTCCATACAGTGCTGTCAATGTACCTTTTGATGACAAGCACTTTTTATAGTACTTTGATTGACTTTTTAAATTCAGTTAGATTCGCAGGCCGCACTTCTCTCGGGTCGATTTCACGCAATGTTTCGCTCTCTCAACGTTTCTAGGTATGCAGAACCTCGCCACCATGCAGAACCGGCCTATGGTGCTCATAGGCGGATAACAAACCTACATAATCTTCTGATACCAACGCAACGAGGACATAGGCTGGCGGCTATTCGATGTTACTGCACTGGGAAGGGGGACGATGGGCCATTTACACATTTAGATAGTAGGGGCCGCGCGCGAATGGTGGACGTAGGCGAAAAACCTGTCACATCCCGAGTAGCCGAAGCTGAATGCTCTTTAATAGTCGGATCTAGACTACTTCGGCTTTTACACGACGCGCGTCTACCCAAAGGGGACGCTCTGACGGTCGCACAGGTCGCCGGAGCGATGGCGGCGAAACGCACTTCAGAGTTGATCCCTCTATGTCACCCGTTGCCTTTGGACTGCGTACGAGTTCGCGTCGAAGTGCCTAAAGTAGCGGAAGCGGGGGGTGGGGGGCGTTTAAGGGTTCATTGCGAAGTTCGTGTTACTGCTCGTACGGGAGCGGAAATGGAAGCGCTCACCGGATGCGCAATGGCCGCCTTGACACTTTATGATATGTGTAAATCTGTGGATCGCGGCATGAAGGTCACTGACCTTAGGGTGGTGAGGAAGGCGGGAGGTGCGAGCGGGGAATTCCCCCCGCCGCCCTTAACTAATATAGAGACTAAAGCCAAGATCGTACCCCCTAACGACGATAACTCGGAGACTTACGCCCCTACTAATTTTGCTCACTTCTAAGAATGTTTTGTAAGTAGGTACTTACTCTCTTTTTAGTCGAGGCCCAACCTATTTTATTGTACCCCACCTAAAGTTAGTGCATATGAGTAATAATTATATATATTTAAAAAAAATATAGTGATGTCAATCCTGGCGTGATTCACTAAATCTAAACTTAAATTTGACAACAGTGTATCCTTGTCATTCTCCATACAAAATGAAAAGGAGAGACTGATCTTAAATTTAGTTTTAAGTTTAGATAATAATCATGCCAGAATCGACACCAATATGTAGGTACCATGAAATATTTGCACCATCATCATAAGTGTAATACTGTTATAGTATTATATCTTTTTTTAAAACATGGATCGGTGGTGCTAATTTATTTAATTTCGGCCATTTTCGAAGATTTCCATTTATTGTTTTAGGTTTGCTTAACTTTTGCTCAATAGCAAAATATAACATATACGTTTGACAAGCATTAAAATTATTTGAAGTCTCTGCGTGGCCATTGGATTTATTATCTAGTTTATATAGAATGTTGAACATATGGTTTTTTTGTTGATAAATGTTATTTATGGCTGCTGTAGAAACATGAAAGCAGCTAAAAATATATCAGATTATTTTTAGGAATATATTTTATGTATATTAAGAGTAAGCATAATTTAGTTGTGATATACTTTAACGAAAATGCAATCAATGCAATGCATATTGATATTGTATAGGGTATTTGACAGTATTAAAAATAAAGTGCCAATAGGCTTGTGTCAACTAACAATAAATCGAATGGGTTACAGTTTCTAAATATGAAATATGATATACAAATAACAAAAAATAAAGCTATTTATCATAATAATTATAGATTATCATTATTTTTTGAAAATAAATTCGAATAAAATAGGCATTAGATCACGTGACGGCAAACACCAATCAGAAAGACGTGACGTCACCACGTGCAAAACATTACTTGTGTTTGCCGTTTTTATACATTTCATTGATATCTCATTCATGTTATTGTTACTTTGATACAATTTATCAGTTTGTTTTCATATAATTAATGAAAGGAAGCCTAATAAATCCATGGAATTGGGATTTACCGAAGCAAATAATACCTAATATTTTAACCAAAATAAAAAATTCATCGCTTAGCTACTCGACATAATTAAGCATATCATTTGGCAACTAGAACAAGAATAAGAAGTGTTTATTATTATGAATAAAATACTGAACTCTTAAATAGACTCTAAACCATACCATAAAACTAAATACACTTACCTAACCTCAACCTATTGTCATTGTTTTATAAATTTAATGCAATATAATTAATCCGGCTTGTATAACATTTTGATTTCATTGATTATGTTATGCAAAATACTTACATCAAAATGTTCATCACAAAATTATTCTTGTATTTGTTGATCTCAGACCAAATAAAAAGTAAAGACGGAGTCTGCCGAACCAAAAAGTGAAGCCGGTTTTTTATGTATGTAGTGCATTAGCCAGTGTTACCATAGTCATATAAAACACCCCAATATTAGAAAAATGTAATAACGTTATTCCATAACTTTATTAATAACGTTATAAAATATTAGAAAAAAATATCGTAAGCTTATTCTCTAAACCTCTAGTGAGCCAAAGGTCATGCGCCGTTCTCACCTACAAGTGCCGGACTTCTTTATGGACCGCCCGCCCGCTGGGTGGGAACGATTGCATTGTTCTGCCGATTTCTCTGTTATAGTGTAAAAATACCCTTCACAAACGTATATTTGGATTCTCCATAAAATTTTCAATAAAACAGTGTGTACACAATGCGTCATGTCTATAATTTATTTTAATTACATTATGGTAAACTCAGGAAAGATAAAAAAAGTCGTTTAAATAGGTAAAATGAGGTATATTTTCAAAATTTGTAAATTATAAATCCAGGTTTTTGTACATATAGAATGTACTATATATAAATGAATGTATGTAATAACTTACTTAATACAATTATAAAATATAACACGCAACAGAAAAAAGGGTCGTGTTTCAAGTGTTGATAAAAACAAATGCGAGATCCAAGTGCCTTGATTTATGTGTTGACGTTTAATTATGTTGGATTGTTTATTTTACTTTAGTTACAAGTCTCGGATGGAATAGGTTTGTTCATTTTATAGTTTCAAGCACTCGCAACAAGGCACTTGAAATCGCTACCAAATCAGTCATCTCAACTTTATGTCGATAAAACGAAAAGCATATACAAATGTTGATAAACAGTTTCTTTTATTAAAATGTACATGAGTTTTTCTATAGAATACACAAAACACACGTCAAAAGTGTCTAGGGATAAACATATATTTTTGCAATAACTTTTCTCCTGATTGATATTAATTAAAATTTTCTTTAAGGATTCATCAAATAAAGTGTTTTCGTTTGTCACAGTAACGATAAACCAAGTCACCTTTGCATTAATAAAGAAATTTGCCATTTTCCTAATAAAGGGATTTTTGACATTTGAACCACTAACACAAAAGTTCGAAAAAAAGACTGAAATAACAGTTTTCTCTAAAATTTTATTGGGTAACTTAAACAATTAATAATCCGTATTTCTACCGCGAACACTAACAACACAAGAACATCGGTTTGGCATACTCAAAATGAGTTCATCCAAATCACGCTGTGGAATGGCCGCCCATGTTCGTTGCAACAACAAAAAAAGGTCTTCTTGCGACTGGATACCCTCCATATTCGGCAGAGCTCTTCTCTGTAGCATATCCCATGCATGCTCAATCGGGTTCAAGTCTGGCGACTGAGCAGGCCAGGGCAGGACATTGATGTTAGCTGCGGCGAGAGTCTGTCTTACAACTCTTGCGGTGTGCGGTCGTGCATTATCATGCATTAACTGAAATAAGGGACCGATTTGCACTTGTAGAGGAACGATGACGTCTGATACAATCGTCTCAGCATAAATTTGAGCGTTGAGGTTGCCTCTGATCCAAATCAACTCAGTTCTTCCGCCGATCCAAATACCCGCCCATACCATGATGGTTCCACCACTATAAGGATGGACTTCCTGGCAGGATTTTAATCGCTGTTGGCGTCCAGGGGTTCTCCAGTGTCGTATACGTCTTGTATCCGGTCTCATACCAAAACGAGACTCATCAGAAAAGCACACGAAACGCCATTGTTCTTCTGCCCAATTTCTGTGTTCAAGAGCCCATTGATATCGAATCCTACGATTGTGCATTGCTATAGGTGGTACCCGTAGCGGTCTTCGGGAATGAAGGTTCACTTCATGCAAGCGGTTTCTGACTGTTTGGTCGCTAATTAAGTTCCCTGAAGAGTGATGAAGCCTCAGGGCTAACATCATGGCGGTTATTGTTGGAGCTCTTCGAGTTAAGATTTGAATGTATCGGTCTTGTCTCCGTGTGGTGCAGCGATACCGTCCTCCATGGCGCTCAGCCACGGTACCAGTGCTTCGGTATCGTGTCCAAAGTCGACTGATAACACTCTGACTTGTATTCAGAGCTAAAGCCACAGTACGTTGCCGGGAACCAGCTTCTATCATTCCCACGGCTCTGAGCATTTCTTCCCTGCTTAAATGACGTCGCCGCTCCATAATAACGTTGGTTTTAATCAGTAGTAGGGAAACAGTAGCACTAATAATGTCTTCAATGCGTTGTATGTTTTTATAGGGAAAATATTGACAGCTGATTTTCATCTTTTACTCGAATTTGATTCACAGTTCCTGATTCAAATTATGAAATGCACCAAAAAGGATCCATATAAATTTATAAAATCATAAATTTATTACAAAGCCACATCTCAATCTCAAGAAATCCGCATAAAAATGCTTGATCCCTAGACACTTTTGATGTGTGTATAATCACTAGTTCCTATACAAGAACATAATAAAATAAATCCACAAACATCGCGAATTTTGGGTCAAAAAGGCCATTAAAAAGTAGATGCATCTTAAAACGGTGTGCACATTAGATGAGGCATTTTTCTAGTGTGCACAGTTGCGGTCAAGGTTGAGTATAAAATTAGCTAAGTACCAAATTAACATTATTTTTACTATTGTACTAATACTTTTAATGAACAATGATACTTAATTCAAGTAAGTTCGCTTTAATTTAGTAGCATAATACGGCAAAATGGGGAAACTGAAGCAAGTAGTTCTACCACAACATGATAGATGGTGGGACTTGTACAAACAATAAGCAATTAGCAAATAAATTATTGGAATCTTTAAAATATAAATTAATCTAAGTAACCATAATAATAGTAAAAAAAATACCTTTGGATATGCATTTTGTTTTACACGACGTAACCCTTTTGTTGTGTAGTACAAATCGTCGCTCTGAAAATGAATCGAACAAACCACGCTGCGGGAAGCTGGTTGCCACAATGGTTCATTTCTACTCTTACGAATGACTGCAATCCACTTCTCTTTTAGATCTTGATCTCGATTAGGAAATCTTAAAAAAAACGTATAATATATAATATGTATTACATCCCAAAAAAATTATACGAATACATAAAGAAAAAAGATGTTTCGTGTAATTGTTTATCCATGCATTACAATATTCGAATAATATAAAAGTATGCCACACAATGTATTTAATAAAATAACGTTACGTTATATTTCACGCTACCCAACAAAAGGGTAAAACTGTAACGAATAATCATGGCAACATTTCGTTCAGGTTTTGTTTACAAAGCGACAACCTCAAATTTGATTTTGATTAATTGAAAATAGCAGTTTATAACTTTACTTACGTATGAAATGTGATTCCATCCTGTTTTTTATTCTTGGAAGATTGGTTTTTACACGTTTTCACTACACAATTCGGCATTTTCTCTAATAAATATTGTTATTTATTATTACGTCACACTCCGCGCGTCGGGATAGCTCGACTGAGAAGCCAAGGCGTAGTTTCGTTGCATGTGTGTGTGTGTAACTGTGTATGTACACGGTGAGGCGTAGTTTTATCGGCTTCACTTTTTGGTTCGGCAGACTCCGTCTATACTTTTTATTTGGTCTGAGTTGTTGATAAACAATGATGGGTACCATCCTTGCAAGTTCTAACCATTTTTTTCGCATTTGTGGCATATAAATAATTTGTCTGGCGTTTTATGCTTCTCCTTTTACACTATGACACTATACAGTACTTATAATACGATGGATTCATTTTTAACTAAATAATTTTAATAGTCGGCGTACAGCGTATTGTTTGCTTTGCACGGCGTGACGTCATTCAAGACGCCATGACAGTCTAGAGCGTTTTCGAGGTAAATTTGAATAAGTTTTTTAAAATACAAAATACATATTGCTAATGTACTTTTTTATTTAAAATAATATTTTTTTGGGGTTAAATAAACATCAAGGTATATTATTAACCACTTTTTAAAATATAGGCAACTAGCCTATTGTTAGCATCTGTGTTTAGAATGAATATTATCAGGGGTTTTTACTATTTTTACAAAAAATATTCATAATTTTACTAAAAACCCACGAAAAAGATAATAGTTTTCTTATCTATTACTTACTTACGTCACGTGACCCATAACGCTTGGGATTGGCGGAGCCTAAAATGACGTCACACACAAGTAAACTTCCGGTTAAAGTGACATTACATTGCTTCGTTTGACGTTTTAATAACAGTCGTGTGACGTCACACACTAGTAAGACACCATATTGTCCAGAGAAACGTTTTCGCGGCAACTTGAAAATGGAGTTTCTGATTTGGTTATTTTTACTGAAAAACACAACAGAATGATGAATATCCACTTATTACGGACTCCATAAACATTAGTCAATAACGTGAGATCGTTTTCTAAAACTCGTCAAATACCCTATTAGTTTACCTACAATAAGGCAGCTTGTGTTGTTACGTAATTTATTTTTTCCATTTGTACATCAGTTATAAATTAGTTAAGTTCTATTATTTTTTAGTCAGTCAATTTAATTGACAATAAACTTGTTGTAACTGAAAGTATGTTTGTGCTAGATAACAACTTTTATGTCTCTGTTCATTATAAGAATGATTTATTGAATGCATTCACCAATAATAATTAAATTCCTTTTAAAGAGGCTTTTTTATTAAGAAGCAACATGCAGGCCGGCAAGGTGAGGATGGCTGCTAGAACTGCTGTACCAGCTATCTTCACGACTGGATAGGGTGACCATCCGTCCGGATTTGGCCTGACTTTCTGCCTTTCGTCCGGCTTTTTTTTAATTAGATGGAATATGAGTAAAACTATTTATTAAGTTATATGAAATAAGTCAAATAATCTTTATTAAGTCCTCATTAATTTAAAACAAAATATAAATCATCTTTAAAAATCAACAATGAGACCCACCTCATCTGCTGATGTTTGTTGCATTTTGTGACTAAAATGTTCAGACTATTATCCAAATGTCCGGCTTTTTGTCAGGACTTTCAAATTTTTAAATAGTAGCCCTACGTCTGGACGGACACTTAACATCAGGGGGCCAATCGCCTAACTGAATTGCTTTGGAAAACGCTATCGCTTACGATTTCATTTTGTTATTTCTAGCCCCCTGAGGTTTTCAAATGCCTCGCGCTCTTTTTTTTTCTTTTGCATTGGTAATAACAATGTTAAAGAAAATGAGCGTGAGGTATTTCGGCGGTTAGAAATAACAAAATGAAATCGTAAGCGATAGCGTTTTCCAAAGCAATCCAGTTAGGCGATTGGCCCCCAGGTGGGGTGGAGTCATTTGTCGGACCTATCTATAAAAAAATTGCTTCATGGTTTAATGTTTGCTTTTTGTTAATCAAAGCTATGTTATTTTGAAGTTTTTCTTTCTAATTGATATTTCTCTTGTGATTGTGACAATTGACATTGGATTAATGTTTGCATGGCATGGCGCTGTTGATAAAAAATAAAATTATAGCAACAAAACTATTCCTATGCATAATAAAATTACAGGGAATTAGATTTATGTAGAATATTAAATATCCCTCTAATACTATACTAGCTGCGTTCATTATTTGCGATTGATAATTTTTTTTACTCTGAATAGTTCTTTTATTACATCTAGAGTTTGATGTATGATCTATGAGTCTGAAACGTTCGGTAATTCAATAGTCCATCATAAATTTGTTGGTAGTATTTTGGCCAACGAGAAAGATTGATCTGGTTATCTGTCATGCTGTGAGATTAGTTTCAGTTTGAGGTTAGCTATTAATCAACGGTTGGTTGGGCCATTTGGTAATAGCAATTTGCTCACATTAATCAGTGATCACGTGAACAAAAATCTGTCGCCTCTGCGATGCAAATACCGAACGCAACTACTATATGCATTAGGTTGAGAGGTGAAGCACAAAGCGACCAGCAGGCATTATGAAGCTAGCAAAAATGAGTTCTGCATGCATGATTGTGAAAGGACAAAGCAACAATTGGTCATTTTTGGGAGCAAATAGAATCAAACTTTAACATGGGTTCATAGAACAATTTTTTGCTTGCTTTTTTGACACTGGTTGCTTTCTGCTTACAATGCTCAATTAGTGTTTTGAGTGTGACTGTTATTGTAAGGAATTAAAGGTTCTATTTTTCACATTTTGGGTTATGTTGACCTGACCTATACAAATTCATACAATTTTTGTTATCTATATTGATATGTTAATGAATGAAATAAAATGAAAATGAAAACATATTTTTAGTTTATTATTTTTAATAGAAACCTTAATAATTTTTTGTAATACAAGTTTTTTTTACTTGTTAGCACTGAGCAGTAAGATATAGAGAAAAGCTTAGACACAACATAGGTATTTTTGTATATATGATTAAATATTCAACCTACCCATTGGTATTGTGTGAGAATTGTGACCCATTTTCTCTATAAAATGAAAGAGGCAAACAAGATAGTGTTATGTCATGTGACAACTGGTTTAGATCATGATTTGGTCACCATAGCATGATTTACTTACTTAAAATTTGGTAAACTTTAAGGCCCACTTGCAGCAAATTTGCTAAATCTCAATTCAACTAAAACTAGCTTTAACACATAGAAAAATGACAAAACGTCAATGTCTATTTGATATTGTTGTATGGGCTAAATCTAGATTTAGTTAAATTGAGATTTAGCAAAATTCCTGCAAGTGATCCTAAGACCTTAAGCAATTGCACATTTTTTTTGCTGTTAGCAAAATCTGAAGTTAGTTCTTTTCTTAAAGTAAAACATTATTCATCTTCAGTTACAATGAAGCCGATTGGAATTAAATAATTTATTTTTTACTCTTTCTGGTTAATAAAAACTATTGAGTAGTTATCTCAGTATAATTTTATTAAAGTTAGATCTCTTATAATAAATATAGGTTAATTTTCTCAAAGATACTTAAACAAAATCTCTTTTTTTAAACGCAAATGACTGTTATTAAAATGAAATTTAATTAAACTTTTTTTAAATTGTCTTAGAACATATTAATAAAAAATAATGCGTATTTATAAACCTAAAAAGCAAGCATTTTGGTATAGGACATTTTGTGATATTGGTATCAAAAACAGTCAGTAATATAAAAAGCAAGCTTATACTTCTGTTCGGATTATAGGAGAATCATCCACTGGCCACAAGTACATTGGATTTTGTTGGCTGGTCTGGAGTATCATCTGCTGGTGGACGGTCTGCTCGCTGCACTCTAATATCGTGGCACTCAATATACTCGTTTATTTCCTTTCCTTTACGTGTCAGCTGCTCATGAAGAGCTTGTATTGCTTTGGGCAATCGTTCTCTATTCATTTCTAGCTCTGGAAGCACGTCTGCTACTGTCCGCTCCACTAGCACTCCTCCGACCATACGGAAGCATTTTCGAGATCCATCAACGCCTTTTAGTGTATCGATGACTATTCTGAAACAAAGGGAAGAATATATATCGTATTTTAAGTGGCTAAACTTTATTGCTATCTTTGCAAAGTTTTGACAATCGGTAACTTACTTGTGTTCATTGAGATCCATTTCTAATTCTGAAATCTTATTTGCTAGCTGTCTCTGTTCACTCCTGAGTGTTTGGAATCCAGCAAATATCTCTTCACTCGACTTCTTTTTCCCACCTTTTGGTGCTGATTTTGCCATTGTGCTTTCTACTTATAATACTAGCGTCCAAATTTTCTATCAATCGTGATTATTCTAAGGGAAACTCAGACACTTTAAACACAAATTATATTAATTAATAATTCTTAGTTGTTAATCAATGATTTTTTTCCCGATCAGATGCGATTTGAGGTTATAAATAAATGTATGAATGAATGACCATATTTTTTTAGTTGTATTCTTGTATTTATCCCTGTTGTAACCGAGCAAAGGTTTCTGAGCCCATACAGCCCAACCGATTTTTTAATCTGTTATCTGTGGTTAGCGGTGATGTTGACAAGGAACATCTTATCTAATAAAATTCTCGTGTCACAAATCACAATGTTAGTTACCATACTCCTCCGAAACGGCCTGACCGATTATTATGAAATTTTATATGCATATACCGCGGGTCTGAGAATCAGTTACTATCTATTTTTTTAAATCCTTAAGTAATAGTGGTTGTCCACCTGTAACGTAGTGTGAAACCTAAACTACAATGCGCCTTCGCGCCAAAATTCAAACTATTGGGTATTGTAACGTAGTGTAGTATATGGGTCAGGAGTAGTGTCCGACCGAAAGTTCGGTTTCGGCCGTGTTTCGGCCAAAAATTAAGTTTCGGTGGCAGTTTCGGTTTCGGCCAAAATTGGCCGAAACTTTTGCCGAAACCGAAACTGATTTCGGAAGTTGTCGTGCACGCTCGCCTTACTTCGTTTCACGCACAGCAGTCCATATCCTATATTGAGAAGTGCAGTTTCCTTTATTGAGATAAAAGAGATTGATGATTCTTCTAAGTTCAAATACAAACCAAAGTATTAATTAATAAGATTTCAAAATACCAATGGGTATTTAATGAAACTGTAACAATTTGTAAATTGATTATTGATAACTGATAAAAATTTTGCTATGAGAACTTAATTTGAAAAAATAATAAAAATATTATTAATATTTTTTTATATTATATTTAGTAAATGATTACCTACAAAAAAAATTATATACTGTGTTTCCATTTCATGTCTTAATTAAAGCTGAATAATGGGTTTAATGAATAATGGCATTTTAATGCATCAAATTTCACTATTTTAACGAATTTCAATCTTGACCACGTGACTTTAGGTTTTGGTTTCGGCCGAAACTGAAGCCACGGCCGAATGTTCGGTTTCGGTTTCGGCCGGAAGACCACTTTCGGTCGGACTCTAGTTAAGAGGAATGTTACCCCAGGAAATGAGATAAAATACTACGTTACACACCCCAAAAAGTTTTTTGGACAATATTTATTTTTTTATAATGTGGTATTAGAAAATACATACAACCCACAATTTTCTGTTCTACCACCTGCCCCCTATTTTTATGGCGAAACGAAGTTCGCTGGGTCAGCTAGTATACTATATATTATTATATAAGTTCCTTGAGTTTTAAGGATAAGTAGCTATCTGAAATTGATTAATCGATTTGCAGCAGAAGCTACGTCTTCTGTCTGTTGTTGTTTATACCCGAGAAATTCGTCATTATTATATTTGTAAAATTATTAATTTAATGGCGTCGATTCTAGCATGATTCTCTAAACTTAAATTTGACAGCAGCATATCCTTGTCATTCTCTATACAGAATGAAAAGGAGAGACTGATATTAAATCTAGTTTTAAGTTTAGAGAATCACGCCAGAATTGGCACCAATGTCTTGGTATTTTATATAATTAATTACATTGATTTCAACTAATATTATCGTGTTTCTCGCACGCTAAAAACATCCATTGTGTTACTCAGTCAGCGAGGTAAGAGACACGCCCCTCTACAGATCTAGGCGATTGTGTACTTAATTTAAATTATGGTTGGTCATCGAGAAAATACGTTCGGAGGCCACAAACTCGATTAAAAATAAATCAAAAGCCACTTTATTTATTTAAAAATCAGGTTGATCCAATTCCTTTGATACGATTCAAACAAGTATCGGATTTGGATCAGATTGGCATCCCTACCGTGGCACCTGTCATTTTGTCAAATGTCAAAATCAGTCTGGAGATCTAACTTTGTGGATTGGGGATGGAGTTTTTGGCAGGATTTCATCAAGTGCGGTTGGCGTCTTATTTTAATTATTCTCTCTTAGTTTATAGTGGATATTGTGAAATAAAATTGGTGTGATTTTGTATTACAACCGTCTGCGCAACTGAAGAATTAGTGGAATCTTTAAAATATACACTATTCCGGTCAAGTGGACGTGAGAATTTTATTGTAGTATTGACTACCTCACAGAAGCTTATCGAAAAAGCCAACTCGATATATTTCGTGCCAAACACTCCAAGAAGCATTAGAATGCGGCACATCCACATTCTAATGTAAAAAAGGAAGATTAATACAAAATAAGACGATGGCTGCATGGCTATGCCTTTGCCTTTCTCAATAGAGAAGAATAGAACTAAAAAAAAATTTAACTTTGTTTACTAAAATATTTATTAAAATCTCATAAAATTTTATTTAAAGAGCTCCTTTATTTTATTTCACTTATTATTCTTGAAAAGTAGCCAAGTATACATAGTACCACATTTGGTATAAAAAGTATTTGTTATTGTTTTTGTAGTTTAGGGCATAGGGGCGTTTGTTTGGAAAGTTCACAAATCGCAAATGATGAAGGAGCCAACATTGGCGTTGCAGAGAGAACTGGAAGCAAAGGAATTCCTATTTTCTGATGTGGTATGTACTATAATCTATTAAACCGATGCTAATGAGGGAGAAACTACTGTACTTATGAGTAAAGTTCTATTATTATCTAACAACTAGCGTTACTGAAATTTAGTAAGTAATGGGAAGTAGAAAACTTCCTATTCATTCAGTGTTAAACTACATACATTGATCTGCCTACCTCCTGGGTGAGAAAACAGTGCACAGAATTACTTCTGTAATGTTAATAACTAACAGTAGTAGTAGTAAAGTTATCAAACTTTAATGAAGACTGAATTGTTAGATTGACTTTTTTAATACTTACCTGCCCTGGATTCAAACTAAGCAATAGGACAGTAGTTGTACATGTTATAAAATTCTGTACTGAATTCAGTGCAGTGCATACTGTATAGGATCCTGCTTGTCAAAATAAATAAATATGTAAATTAAAATTTGCTGACTTGGGCCTGTGCGTTTTGCTACTCCACCATTATTAACGAGCAGTTTTGTGTTATTCTTATTCAGTGGGCTGGCCCTTTGGCTCCTTCACAATTAAATTCATTGATTTACATCATGTGAAGTTTTGTATAATTCTCATGTGCATGGTCCTGCCTTTTCTACCCTTGGGTAGGGCTGCTATCCGTCCGGGTTTCCCCGGATTTGTCCTAGTTTACGGGGCGTCCGGGGAGCGTCCGGGGAGCATCCGGGCGGGGTTTCATTTGTAGTCCAGGTTTTAAAAAAATCCTGTTTTGGGTCGACAATTAACACGTCAATTTAAATGTCTTTGAAAATAAATAAATCTTTTCTCTCTCAAAGATCAGCTCTGTCGCTCACGCTGTACGCAATAACAGCATTCGTTGCTATATGGATGACAGCACTGACACTTATTACACTGGCCGGTCAAACATCCCTCGGATGGAAGAAGAAGGGTGTAAAGACAGACTTGTGTCCGAGATTGAGTTGTTACTGGATCAAGTCTCAAATTGAAGCCAACAAAATTTGATTGCATTAACCCAGCAAAGACACAAATGTGTGTGACCTTTTCGTTCAGACCCGGCAACGCATGAGTGGGCCTTGGTGCTGCAAGTGTCCACTGACCACTTATTATGAGGTAGACTACAAGCTCTTTTGCCTACATCAACATAAAAAAAGTTGATTTGTGACATTTTTAACTGTTTTTTTATTGGTCTGTCCGGGTTCTAGGCTCCTAAATCCGGGGTTATCATACGTCTTGTCCTGGTTGCCACATTGTAGAGATGGCAGCCCTACCCTTGGGTTAATTCTGCCCATTGTCTTAAGTTATCATAACTAAATAAGATTTTCATAATACAATAATTACTTTAACTTCTTACTATATATTTTCATCGATAGATATTTTTATTAACATAATAATTCATGCTAGGGAGATGAGAATACGGCACCATCGGATGCAGCACTGGGCGCGCTGCTCGAAGATGGCGAGCCAGCAGCAGACGCCGAAGGTCGCGTGCGTCGTCTCGGGGAGCGAGTGGCTCGCTTAGACGCTTTAAATGTAGGGGGGATGTTAGCCGCCGCCAGCGAGGGGGATGGGGCCGGCGCTAAACTAGCCGAACGCCTCGACGCTGGACTGAAAGCCGGGGCAGCGTTAGCCGAACGCCGCTCGCGCTGCGAAGCTGTCCTACGAGCCGCCCCCGACGCTGCTCATGCTAGGTTCGGCGCGGCCCGGACAGATGCCAACGCCCGCGCTTTACTACGCGAGCTAGAAGAACTGTATTCCTGGCTGGATGCCCCTCCGTTGCGCGATTTAGATTCCCTATCAGAGGTTTCTCTAGCCTCGCCTGAAGGTAGAACGAAAGCGTTAGCGGCAGCGGAAGCGCTCAGGTCTGCGTTGCGAGCGGAAAAGTCAGCTCCCGCCGCTCGTCGCAGACTCGGTGCTACAAGGGAGAGATTGAAGCGGTTGACGCGAGCTCGCGATCAGTTGGCTGTGGCGCTGGCTCGGCATTTGAACAACGCTTTGATTCATCTGGGGAATGAAGCGGCATCGGAATCGAGGGGGCGGAGACATCATCGCGAGCTGTTGCCGTACGCGCCGTTCATGCGGTGGTTGAAGGATATGGATCCGCGGGCGTTCGATGCGTTAGTGAAAGTGTATGCGGCGGCGTGGGCGCGTGTGTATGAGAGGGAATTGCACGCGGCGTGCGAGGCGGCTAAAACAGCGCTCGCGCAAGCCTCGCCAGAGCAAGCTGACCCGCTATTGGATAATGTAAGTTACTAAGGAACTTTAAATCTAAAGAAAAGTTTACTAGAAAAAAATCCACGCGGACCAGGCAGCGGACGGGACTCGAACCCGCATCCTTCGCTATCCGGGCGAATACACTGACCATTATGCTACCACGGCCCTATTTTTTTTCTAGTAAACTTTTCTTTAGTTTTAAACATCTAGCAGTTAAATGCTTAAAAAATAAATTAAATCATAACTTTAATTGCTATTTCTTCTTTCAAATGTTTAATAGTTGAAAAAGTATTCATTTGACATTGTGGGTTACCTACAATGCGAAGAAATGGCGCTGCCTTGCAGCTTAAGGCTAGGAAAATTTCGACGCGGCTAATAGGGCCGTGGTAGCATAATGGTCAGTGCATTCGCCCGGATAGCGAAGGATGCGGGTTCGAGTCCCGTCCGCTGCCTGGTCCGCGTGGATTTTTTTCTAGTAAACTTTTCTTTAGATTTAAACATCTAGCAGTTAAATGCTTAAAAAAAATTAAATCATACTAAGGAACTTATCAATCAGAAATCAATTATAGCTATTAACGGGATTGTTACCATGTACCTTGTTTTTTATGAGTCTCCGATATTTCGGCACTGTTGCAAGCGCCATGATCACGGAGTGACTGAAGTAATTGCGGGTAGATGTTATTGGCAGACATATCGGTCTACCCTCTGACGTCGTGCGTCGTTTTACTGCGCTTGATACCCGTACCACTGGTCACATTCGCACTATTCACTCGCACTTGTTCCCGACACACAGAACTCACAGTATCAGATCGCGGAACGACACTTTTTTGATTTTTGCGGTTTTTACACATACGAACCACTGGATTCAAAACAATATATCAAAAATCAATTATTCAGTTTAGGCTGTTACAAGCACTTGTGAAGGTCGAGGTTACGAGATTCTATAGAGTACTTAGTTTTTTGTCTTTGTAAAAGGTTCTTACGGAAAAAAAATAAAAAGTTGTCCAGAAAATTTAAGAAAACTTAACTTACAACTTTACGCGATGCAGTTTTAAAATGTTCTTATTGAGCAGGACATTCTAGTCTGTCAAGTCCATAGTTTTATTATATTTTGGATTCGCCAGTCCAGCCTAAGTTTCCAGTTCAATGAAAAATTTTAGTCAATGAAGATGTTATTGCAAATCGAAATTCCATTGTAATGTGCACGCTTTCAAAATATGTTTTGTTTATAATTTTTATTGTTTTAAAGCATGTAACTGCTTGATTTTTAAATCTAAAGAAAATGTAACTAGAAAAAATTCCATGCGGACCAGGCAGCAGACGGGAAGCCTGGTCAGCGTGGAATTTTTTCTAGTTATATTTTCTTTATGTTCGGTTTGTTGATAATTATCATGGTATTGTTGACAGGTTCTAACGCTGGTCGAAACCCTCTGTGATGCTGAACAGGAGTTCTGCACACAGTTTTTCTACTTGGACGTAGACATTAAGGTGTGTAATTGAGTTGTTTTTATGCAAATTACTTAGCAGAATACACCACCCCACCTTGCTAAGTCTAAATCTGTGTGATGACTGAGAACAGACCACTTACTATAAGATGGGCCATTTGCTTGGTTGTCATTGTAAAACAAATTATTTCTTATATTTTCACGCATACCAATAATTTATTAAAACTCTTCGATCGGGAATAACGCGTGGTTTTATTCGTTTTTAAATTACACATGTAGTATTGGACCCTTAACTGGCTCATCATAACTGTTTTGCCATTAGCAGAACGATTCTAGCTAGACAGCCTAAATGGCTATCGGCTGGAATCGGAATTGTTGTCCAAATTCGTGCTTGCGCCTTAGATGATTTTTCTTTGAATTTGACACGGCCATCAGAAGGCCAATCGCCTAACGGGAGTGCTATGGCTATCGTATGTTGCAGAGCGATGGCAGCGACGGCGAGCGTAGCGAACGAAGCGAAGGCGGTGAGCGGGAGAAGCGCACGGGCGCCGAGACAAGGCGGTTCATGGCAGAACTGTTCCCTGCGCTGGAACAAGAGCTAATAGCTCTAGTGACTCACGTAGAGAAACATGACACATAGTGAGTGGGTTATTTTATGCACAGAACACAGAAAGAGGTAAGAAGCAGGGCTTAAAACCGGTTTCGAAAATACCGGTAAATAAAGGTTAATACCGGTTTTTAGTAAAGGTTTCGTACGGAGCGCGTCCGAAATGAAAGTGGTACCTAAAACCTTAATAAACCGGTTTAATCCAGAGCGACACGTGCACGCGTCGGCATCGCTTGAAGTTTGTTTTGTTTGAACTAATCAAGTCACAACTTGTTAATGATCAGAGATTGATGCATATATTGACACGTTTGCTAGCGTCTAGTGAGTCAAGTTATTCATTTATTATCGCTGCCATCAGAAAGAGCGAAAAGAAACCCTTTAAAAACCGTTACATTGATTCAAAACCTATTTCATTTCGCTCTTTAGGAAAACCGGTTTTTTAAGGTTAAGGTTGAGCCAAACCTAAATAAAACGCTCCTAATGTACTTGACACTGATTTAGGTTTGAAAATTAACCGTTAAACAAGCCCTGGTTAGAACGGCCTTGTGGACGAAGAAGTGCGCCACAGTTATGTTTGAGCAAATGCTCATAACTTGACCAAAACTTGGTTCTGATTGCGTCGTTGTTCTCGGTCGTGAGTGCTGATTGGTCCGATTGTTTGATGTCGCGTCGTTTGATTGGCTATTATATGAGTATTGGATCTAATATTAAGTTTTTTGTGTGCCAACAAATGCTATTCATTCTTTATTATTAGATTTTTATTCTATATTCTAGTGGTCCAAATAAATAAATCTCATTAACAGCGGTGCAATGCGAGCCTTAGCTTGCGTAAGCCGTCGCGTACTAGGCGCTGAGGGTGGGGCCACGACAGCAGCGACCACAAACGCTGTAGCGGTTGCGACTGCGACCGCGATACCGGAGTCCCGCTGGTCTCGCGCCGCACTCGCCGCCGCAGCGGTCGCCGCAAAACGCGCCGCGGATCGCACCATCAGCGTCCGCTTAGCCGCGTTACCGGATGCGGCGAAACAAGCGGCGAAGAAACCGAAGTGTGGTTTACTAAGTTTTCTGCGTGAATTCGAAGAACTGTCCAGTGCTTGTGAAGTGATATTTGCGGGGGGGAGGAGAGCTGATTTGGAAAGATGGTATTTGTCGTTGGCCGGTGCGATGTTGCGAGCGGTGCAGAATGCTGACCATCCTCGCACGCCTAGAGCTGTAGTGCAGATGGGTAAGTGTATTTTTTTTATTAATTATTATGATTCTATAAGTCGAGAGGATATGGTGTATTTGTTTCTTAGGTTTTCACGCACATCACTCATTAAATAAAACTAGTTTTTACGGGTTAATGCACGAACTTTATTTATTTATTGACGTTTCGCAGCCTTTTCAGGTCTGCATCGTCAGAATAATGATTTTTTATTTAAAATTGTCGAGCTACCTTCGAAAGACTTATATTGAGCCTAGCCTAGATCAATATAAGTCTTTCGAAGGTAGCTCGACAATTTTAAATAAAAAATCATTATTCTGACGATGCAGACCTGAAAAGGCTGCGAAACGTCAATAAATAAATAAAGTTCGTGCATTAACCCATAAAAACTAGTTTTATTTAAGGATATGGTGTGTTAGTTTCCGCGATTTGCGCGATGTAGGTTTCCATACGTTGTGAGTGCAGCACCGGTAGCGTTATTTCTTCAGGAAGCGAGTGATTATTTCCTCCATGTTGATTATATTATGTGGGGCATGTCGGTATCACCGCCACACACTTTTGTGAGGTGATAGGATATTTACATGATTTTATACGTCAACGGCTGCAAGACATCTGTTCGGATCGCGGAAGTCGCAGGTTCGAATCCTGTCTAGTCGCGAAAGAATCCCTTAATGGGGACCCCGCGGCTTCGCATTAAGCAGCGAAGAAGGTATTCGCAGGGTTTTTAGCGGATATTATGTGCCCGTAAGAGTTGCGGGGTCCTCGGTGGTCAGCCACTGGGGGGTTCATAAGACTTGCGGAAGCCAGGTGTGAGGTCCTTTCGGCGGTGTGCCTCTTAAAGGCGGCGTTATCTGTGAACAGCATTTTTTGCCTGCGTAACAAAAAAATGGTTCGAATCCTGTCTAATATCTGGATGGAGTGGATTTTCTGAAGGGATAACTTCTTGATTTGAGGGAGACCAAACCCTCCCTGGGCTTGGCTTCCTTTCGCGGCAGCCGGCCCAGGTTGTCAACCAGAGGGGTGTCCCCAGACGCACCCACTCCCTCACCCATCAATCTCCACTATCACCCATCAATCCCCACTATTACCGAGCAATCCCCTTATCACCCTCGAATCTCCGTTCAGCCTCGAATCCCTTTTCTCTCTTGAATTCCCTTCAAACCCTCTAATCCCCTTTTCACTCTCCAATCCCTTTTTCACTTACCAATCTTCGTCTACATTATCACTTCTGTCATGCGTCCTGGGACTCACACGCTTTATTTATTTAAGAAAAAAATTGTTTTCCATATATATCAGAGAACTACCACGGCACTCTATCCTCCCTTCCTCTGTGGCCGAGTGGTTTGTACGCCGGGTTTCATGGTGTCGCCGACTCGAAGGGTCCCGGGTTCGAATCCCGGTGGGGGCAGATGTTTGCGTGATGAATACGAGCATTTGTACTTCAGTCATGGATTTTTAATACGTATTTCTATATAAATATTCTTATATAATGTATTGTATATGTATTCTATCCGTTACCCTAGCATCCCATAACACAAGCCTTACAGTGCTTACTATGGGGCTAGGCTAATTGGTGTGAGTGTTAGAAATATTTATTATTATATATGGAGTGAAAGCTTCTTGATTTCACTTGCGCGATGTAGGCTTCCATAGCGGATTGCGAAAGTCGCAGGTTTGAATCCTTTCTAATATCTGGATGGAGTGGATTTATTCCTAAAACATTTGCTTTCCATCTACATCAGAGAACTATCACCGCCTGCACGGCATTCTGTCCTCCCTCCGCATGACCGCGTTAGAGTCGCACTTCTAATCAAAAGTCAAAAGGATATGGAGTGTATGCTTCCGGATTTCACTTGCGCGATGTTGGCTTCCATAGCGGATTGCGAAAGTCGCAGGTTTTATTCCTGTCTAATATCTAGATGGAGTGGATTTTTACTTCAAACATTTGTTTTCCATCTACATTCAAAATTCAAAAAATCAATATCACTACTCTCCCAACCCAAAACCAAATCCAACATCAGTCCCCCCTTGCAGTTTTGTCATTCAAGTATTCTTTAATAGTATAGTAGCCTTTCTTAAGTAAAAAACTTTTAATGTGACATTTGAACTCATTTATGGGTAACTCAAGAACAGCATCAGGAATTTTATTGTAAAAATGTATACCTTGACCCATAAAAGATCGCTAAACCTTCTGGAACCTGTAGGGTGGCAATGCAAGCTTGTTTCTATTCCTTGTGTTAAAATAGGGGTGATGACGGGGTACAGTAAACGAAATTCTATTTAGTCCGTCAGTTAGATGATCAAAAAATAATGGACACGTATTTTTTCTTTGGGCAATCAACCAAAAAATGACAAAGTTATAGCGCGTCAAAGTTTGGGAGTAGAGGCTCGTGACGTCACTTTTGAGTGAATTTTCACTTACAAGTGTACTCAAACGTGACGTCATGCGACTTTTCAAATCAATATATCTCTGCAATGTTCATATTATGTGAAAAAAGAAAAAATACGTGTCCAATACTTTTTGATAATCTACCTGATAAACGAAGAAAAAAATATAGTCATCATCCCTATTGTCATTAGAGAACTACCACCGTCTGCACGGCATTCTGTCGTCGCTCCGCGTGTCGGCGCTGGAGTCGCTGCGCCGCGACACTCGGGCGCGATACTCGGACGCGCTACGCACCTACGTCACGCATTACTTCGGCCGACCGCTCGAGAAACTCACGCAGTTCTTCGAGGTACGGATCATTTTAGACTGTTCCAGACATTCTACAACTTTTTTTCTTTATGAACACTTTCAGATTGTAGCTGTAATAATGTTTCAGACTCCAAAAATCAAGAGTTTCATTTCTGGGTTGTAGTATTGCATTGTTTAACAAAGTTCCCCAAGATCTGATTGAGCTTCCACTGACTAAATTTAAATCTCAGATCAAAAATACTCTTATGAATAAGGGCTATTATAAAGTTAATGATTATCTAAATGATCGTAATGCATGGACATAGTGTTTCTTATAATTTGATATTAAATGGGTATTAGTCATTTTTCATAACAGTAATATTGTACCTATCTAATGCCGCTTCCTATATACTACTTAAAATGTTAACTATAAAATTAATTGTAACTATATATTTATATTCTAGATGATGTAATGGAAAGTGACTTCAGACGTATTTCTGAAGTAATTTTTCAACTTGACGACACTGTATATAACAATACAGGGAGAAAAAACAGCCCTTGCTGAGTTTCTTGCCGGTTCTTCTCAGTACAAGGTCTCCCGCCGTAGTTTTGCGAACCGATGCCGTAGCTTCTTGACCTTCACAAGTGCTTGTAACAGCCTAGACTGAATAAATGACATTTCATTTCATTACATAAGGCAGCAGTAGTCTTAAAATGAAAAAGTACAACTGACCCTAGATAGGCTATAAATATAGCCTGTGTTTAGGGATTCAGACCCTTCCAATAGGTTCCTTAGGATGACACAGTAATAAATTGTTACAGGATAGCGAAGCAGATCAGATAACAACATTTGTTCATGACAAAGATATTAATAAAAATTACTGACTGTGTGAGTGCGTATGTGTGTGCCTATGTATGGTGCAAGTATGAGTAGATGCAAGTGACATTAAGTTGCTCCTTGCTAATAAAGGGGTTGTAAGCAGGTATATAATCCGCCAAATGGTAAGCGGCCACCATAGCCCATAGACCGGTGGTTCTAAATCTTGTAATGCTTCCAGGGACCAACAATTGACGATGTCCGTGGCCAAATGGTTTGTACGCCGGGTTTCATGGGGTCGCCGACTCGAGAATTCCCGGGTTCGAATCCCGGTGGGGGCAAATGTTGGTGTGATGAATACAAGCATTTGTACTCCAGTCATATTTACCAGTTTAGTTTAAACTGAACTGGTATAGCTAGCGATGTTACGGTTTTTAATTTTGACAAACCGGATTTGATCGGTTAGCAATACATGCAAATCGGTTTCCGAACCGAACCGCCAAATTTTCAGTAAACCGCGGTTTGAACCGGTTTGAACCGTTTGACGAGTTGACGAATGAAGCTTACGAAACAACAGGTGTTACATTTTTTTTATTCTACATATTTTGTTGATATTACAACGTGCAAATATTTAAAGATAATTGAAAATCAGAATTAAAAATGTCGAAATAAAAATATATAAATTAAATCAGATATCTATGTAATACCGTGTTTATAAAATTACTAAAACATATATATACACTATTAATTATTTGAAACTGTACTTCTTAACTTTGAGAAAAAAAAATAATAATCAACAATATAATAAATACGTTACGTATCTTAGTAAAATCATTTGAGTCGTAGAAACTTAATTAACTTGCTATAAGTCTTTGTTACTTGAATAAATAAACTTATTATTATTATTATTATTATAAACAACTTAATTAAAAAGTTTTCTTACAACTATTTAGAAATAGTATTTGGTCTACTTTTTTAGAAGCTAGGGGATTACGTCTAGGGTTGCAACGATATATCGGAATATCGATAATATCGAGACCAAAATATCGATATTTAAAATTCACTGATATCGATAATATCGATATCGGAATTTCCAAAATATCGATATTTCGTAGTCTAAATTTGAACACAATAATATCAATTAATTTACCTGCTATGAATATCTAAATTGAATAATATCGAAATAACTATTACTTTGAAATCGCAAGAGCTTATACCTAGATGTATTAAAAAAATCTTGAACCCCAAGAAATATACTAAACTGGTGGGGATTCTGGCGTGATTCTCTAAACCTAAAATTAAATTTGACAACAGTGTATCCTTGTCTCTATACAGAATGAAAAGGAGAGACTGATGTTAAATTTAATTTTAAGTTTAGATAATCATGCCAGAATCGACACCAACGTATATAGGTATAATCGTATACCTAATGGTAACTCATGCACTTAAATAAAATCCTTGCCTCTCTTTCTAGATAATTGTCAACTACTGATTAATTGAAATTTAATATCATTGTAATATAACACAAAATAAAATGAAGAATCTAATACAAATCGTAAATTTTTTAAGCTCGCCAAGTCAAGAAAGTAAGATAGGTATAGTAATTTTGGAAGCTTTGGGCTTACCCTATTCTGAAGCCATGGGCACGCCCCTGATGTGTAGGTTTTACTAATACATAACAATTGTTTTTCATATGATTATCTATTCTGATTTTGGCTGCGTGCCAACATTTTAAACAAAATAAATATCTTTGATTCGAAATTGCTTTTGATTTAATACTTCTTACAGCGCTATAAAAATATAGAAAATATCGTGTTGGAAATGTTGGAATGGCTGATATATCGGATCGGATATCGATATTTACCTGCCCACATTATAAATATCGATATTTCGGAAACCTTCGTTTCCTTAATTATAGGTTTTTGCTTTGCAAACTTAATACAAAGCAAAAAAAAGAAAAAATATCGATATATCGATAATATCGAGTTAAAATGGTCGATATATCGGATATCGATATTTTCCTGACTTCGATATAAATATCGATATTTCAAAAGACTTTGCATCCCTAATTACGTCGCATATTAGATAATAATGAAAACAAAACTACACCGTCAAATCAGTCAAATCTACCAGAGTTCGTTTCACTTCGGTTCGGTCGGTAAGTCGGTGGTTGTTGTATTTAAATTGACGAAGCGCTCTAAACGTATCCGCTGCTGTAAGTCGGTTCGTATTGGTCGATCAAGTTTTGTTCGGTCAGTAAAGCACCTCAGGAGCCGCGCGCGATTTGTGGATGGCGGCATAAACAAGAATTGACATGCGCGCAGCGCGACGCAAACGAATGCCACGATAAACCGGTTTACGAAGACGTTAACCGATGCAACTCGGTCTATGCTCAAACCGGTTTGAACCGGTTTGAAAAGTCGAGTCATTACATCTGTAGTATAGACGAGACACTTAGACTATAGAGTAGACACTTGCGTTACCAAAAATATCACTTGCGTCGTTGCCTACCTCGACCCAATCACCTAGGCTATATAAAAAATCCGCCATGATAGCAGCGGAAGGCGCTTTTTCAAAACCTGTCTGATACAAAACTATTTGTAATAAAATTTTCTTTAGATCTATGGTTTCTTCATTGACGCAACTTACATAAAAATTTGTTTCCATAGAGCGTATCGGAAGCAGTAGCGGCGGGAGTGCGTGAAGACGAAGTGTGTTATCGCGCCGCGCTCAGCAAGCAGGAGCTGAGGAGACTGCTGGCCTTATATCCCGCGCACGAAGGTAACGATCACAGTACATATATCAATGTTTGTTGAGCTTCACTTACTGTGGGCATGCCCCAGGGATCAGTACTAGGACCATAACTTATTAGTTAATACTAATACGTGCCTGAAGATGATGAAGTGTGTTGCTGCACCGCTCTCAGCAAGCAGGAGCTGAGGAGACTGCTGGCCTTATATCCCGCGCACGAAGAAATAACAGTACATATATATTAGAGGTGGCGTTAATGGTTGAATAAAAATATCAAATAGTTTCAATGGTTAAAAATATCAGTTAATATGGCAAAGTTTTTCTGCAATATTTACAACTCGCCATTTTATCACTGATTTATTTATGTAGATGTGCACTTTTCGAAATGTTCCCAAAGGAGATTGGTCAAATTGGCCTAAATGCAAATAAAATATTGACATATACAGTAATTCTTGGCGTAATTTATACTTTATTTTACAGTCATTAGATTTTAACGGCCACCTTTAAATAATATATTAATTTTAAAAAAGGACTTCTATTTTTACCGGTTTGGAAAACATACGAATCATTTTTATTGGCTATGGGTGTAGTAACATTCACAAAGACTGATCGAGGTTATTTATATAACATCAAAACAAATCTATTTTGTAAAGATTGATAAAATTTTTTTTTATTACACTGTGGTATTATTATCCACAACTTTATTATCATTTTTACTACATGCAAATGTGCTAAGACAATTAATATAGATGGTAGGCGACATCATAAAGTCTATGACGTTATTGTTGTAATTGTGTTGTTGGGCGCAGAACTGTAGGTTGCTGCGCTCATGTGATGACAATAATTTGGTATTTGAGCTGGGCCAGATACCAAGAAAATATAAATCCCCCTGCACAGTTTCTCGATGATATTTTAATTCAAAATGTAGATGATATGTAATATTAAACGCAACATAAAAGTACTTAAGTTGTTTTATTTCATTAATTTACCTTATCAGAATATTTAAGCTATGTCAGGAATATACATATTTCACACATTGATCAGAACTATCATGAACCTACGCAATATATTATTACATTAGAATTACCTTTTACCATTATAAACCTAATTATTACTAAGAAAATATCCTATTGGTTTTTATAAAATTATGATAACAGTTCCATGTTTCTCATAACATAGGTAAGCAGGTACCAGTTCCTTGACATGCATTTTGTTAGTGTAATTAGTGTTAGACACTTGTCAAATGAAACAAGATTGCTTCTGAAAGTCGCAATGGCATAATCATGATTTTAAAACTTACTCTTGTGCATTAATTTTAAAAACATGCACATATCTGTTATTTTACATGCTCTATATTCCTGAATCTAATACATAATATCAGTACTTGGCTTGATTGCCCTATTTTAATATATAAGTTATTTGGTTTTTATTATTCTAATACCTATGTGCCTATTTGCAAACATAACCTCAAAATCATTCAGTGTATATGGTTTATAGAAGTTCTCAGGAGTGGCCGTCGATAATATTCGTTTCTACGGTAATTTATATATAATTTCGAATGTAGGAAACAATTTTTCATGGTTATTGGTTTTTAGGCCAAACATGTATGGAAGCTGAGCAATCTCCTTTCAGCATTACGTTTCAGCATTTTTAAACCCAGATATCTATCACCCCGCTCTAAAAATCGTTCGTAATAAAATCACTTAAACTATATAAGTTAGCACTGAAATTTGCCCGTAATCATATAAGTAACAACATATAATAGGTAACTACAAGAAATTAAGTCACTTCTGTTGCACCGAAAGGGTAAAATTTTGTATGAGACACTGCCCTAGGAATGTATAAATATTGTACTTAGTAATATTTAATGCTGGATGGCAGAATATCTATAATTATCATGAAAAACGGCTCAGGAACTTTTAATAAAGTCACAATCTTGAAAATTATGAAAATTCCTTTTACGTCATTACCTTGTTACCATTGATAAAAGATGGTGCTAATTATTTACAGAGCTATCAATTTCGCATTTTCTTAGAATCCCAAAGAGTATTTTTAAAGCAAAAATAAATACAAATTATTTGTTGTCATCGGTCTGATAGGAAATCTGTGAAGTTTTATTTCGTCCATTTGCAAAAAACAAAGGATTAATTGTCAAACAGCCTTATCTACAGCCTGATCAGCAAAATAAAATCTATTATTTAAGGCCTTCAGTGAGTTGTTATAATAAAAATTAGGGCTAAATATGTCACAGTTTTTAGGAGTTTGGAATTAATATTGTTCATCTCGATACACCTACACAAATATTTTTTATGCACATTTATTGTTAATTTGTTTTTGTAAAACGGAACATTTTGCTTGTGAAACAGACATGAAGTCAATTTTTATACTTTCATAATTTGATTATTTTATGAAAGTTGTATGAGAATTATAATCACATTAAAATTTATAAAATAATATTATAACGCTTTAGGCTAGTGCGAAATAATTATACACGTTAAGGGCAGTTTCTTAGCCATGTCTTTTACGCATTCAAACAAATTGTCAAAACAAACTAGGTACCTAATCCTAGCGAATTCGTCATCTTTAGCAGTTCGGTAGACGAATCAAAAGATGCCTTATGCTTCACGACTTTAATTGGCACATAAACTATGCAAGCTCATTCGTCGCATGAAAGCAGGACGGTATATACATTTCCCTTACATGATTTTATCGTAATCCACGGCCCGCCTCTCGTGTTACATTTTGTTGCATATAAATTTAAGCTTTAAATTCATGACTGAGGTTTACGTGAGAAAAGTGAGATCAACTTGTTAAATGATATTTTTATTGGCACCATGGCGGTCAATACTGTTATTAGTTCGGCCTGTGGTTGAAATTATTCATTACAATAATTTAATCAGTCACTTTTCTCTATACGGATTAATATTACTCTCGCGTTCAACTTTGATTTCAATATGAATTGAATTAATACTTTTGTTCGATATGGTTGAAAATATTTATCGAATATATGTGTTAAATAATTTTTTTAAGTTTAATTTAATGGTTGATAAGTATATTTAACAACACTAACATATTTAAATATTTCTTAAAGGAGCTTCCCTTACTGTGGGCATGCCTCAAGGATGAATATTAGGGCGATAACTTTAGCTCATAGCAATTCGTTCTGGGCCCGCACTATTTGACAGTTTAAATTGTAACACATTCAACATAGTTAAAGGCAAAACATTTAGATTTGGCGTTAAAGGAAATTACCTATAGATGGAATAGGGATTAGATCTTTAATGTGACCCAGCAGTGGGAACACTAATAGATTGATGATTAAGACGATTAACGTTGTTTTAGTTCGCAAATCGCTGCACCGGTTGTACCGCACGGTGGAGAAGCATTTGAGCGAAGAGGGGGGGCTGTTGCAAGTAGTTTGGAGAGCGATGCAGGAGGAATTCCTGGCGCAGCATCTACAACTGCAGGTACATTTGTGTGTTATTATCTTGAATGATACAAATTGGTGTCTAATAAAACTCGGAATATAAACACAGGATTACCTGTAGTAATCCAGTGTTTATATTCCGAGACATATTTCAACCTTTCGCTTTCTCAACGATAGCTTTGAAAAGAGATGCCCTTAAGTGGGTGTGCCCCAAGGTTCAATATTAAGGCCATAACTTTTCTACTTAGAGGTAATCAGCATTTGTATATTGTAAAATACAGCTTTGTGACTCCAGTAGCAGAAAATGTGCATTCCTTAATTTTCTTTCACTTTACCAATGCCTGATTTACTTTACGCTTACCCCAGGCCTCGATGAGGGGAAATAAATGTTTATCATTAATAAATATGTACTTACTAAGTATTTATAATTATTATTAGTAATCAGCATTTACACTTTAAAATATACGTCTTGTTTACGTGATGTAATGACATAATCATTCCTGTTTTGGAGCATACCGTTTTTATATTATACAACTTACTGTCTCTAGGTAAACGGACATTATTCGAAAGATTTGGTATTTTTTACTTTTTTTGTTCAAGGATTGCGCATTATAAAAATGTAATTTTTACATTATTTTTGCCAATTATATTAGAAATAAAACAAGTTTCAACGGGTTAGATGCACTGATTTTATTTATTTATTGACGTTTCGCAGCCTTTGCAGGAATGCGTCGTGAATCAAAGTGCAATAATGTCAGTGTAAATTTTTTTTTGGCTAATATGCCTTCCTTCTGGGGCCCATCTGCCAGCGTCCCGTATTGAGAGGTATCAGCGTCGAATTGTCAGTGGATTTCTGGAAAGACGTGCACATATATTAATTTTGGAAAAGGGAATATGAAGATAGGAGCCTTACCACACCGTTTAATGAATTAATGGAGTCGATTCTGCCGTGATTCTCTAAACTTAAAACTAAAGAACAATGCCCACTGCCCATACATTCGAAAACCTGTCACTTCGGTTTTTTCTTTATGGATGTATATTGACTGTTGAGGTTGTTAACTAATTATTACAATCTTCTGAAATAATGTTGCTAATTTGGTTTGATTTGGCAATGAGGAATAGAAGTTATAACGAAAACTAATTCTGAGGTTATTCAACTGCTGAAGATGTCATTTACTTACTCTGTGGTTACGAGATTGATTATAGATTATCTAATGCCGGAACTTCACTTGGCTATTTGTAAACTTGACAACAGTCTGTCCTTATCATGTTTTAAGGAAAGAAAAGGATAGACTGAAGTCAAGTTTACATGAATAGCCAAGTGAAGTGCCAGCATAAGATTATTCATTTGTGTGCTGTCACAGCTGTGGTGTCTTAGCCCAGCTAGGTATTTATTTCAATTCGCTTGTTTTGTTTGATTGAAGCTTGATCTGAGGATTGAAGAAAAAAGGATTAATATCATAACATGTATCATGCTGAGGTGTCATCCTTATAATATTGTCTTTGGAATTAAACAAGTTTTTTTTTATATTTAATCAATAATTCAGTTTCAATTATTTTATTGAAATAGTAGGTACTTAATGTCTTAGTTTCTGCAAGCGACTGAATAAATGATAATCTTGACCTTTACCTAATTATATCTATAGACATCTAAGACATTTAACTATGTATTATTTAAATCTCTGGTAGACAAGTATATAAGTAGGTAATAATCTAAAATAAAATTACAATACCTTCCATTAATTGAGATGATTGGTACTATGAGCAGCTGTCATTATTGCTGACATTTTTTCGGAACGAATTTCCTTCTCATGTAGTCAGCCGAAGAGATGATGGAGTCCTAACTATTTCGGTCATGTTTCACTAAGAAAATGGCCAGTCTTTGTTAAGAACGGAAAGAAACTTTAAATTAAAGCCATGCCTTTTAAGTATTACATTACCATTTAAATACGGTATTTACCGCATGGCTGGCAACATTGGAAAGGAGAGTGCGAATCTACATTTAAGCTGCGTTCATAATTATGTCATTTTACTTTGATACAATACTCTTCCCTAATGGATGCGTTCGTGTGATAGCAAAATATGTACCTACATAATGGTTATTTTCAAAAATTATTTTTGAAAAAACTGGATTGTAGTTTTTGTTGATATTTTGATTTCGTAATAAGCGAATAATTACCTTTTTTTTGAGGTATGTCACATAACTATACATGCAAAATTTTTTTACAGATTTGACAGGTCACAAATGGGCATCCTTCTTTAACATCAATCTCTCCTTCTCATTCCGTATAGAGAATGACAAGGATACACTGTTGTCAAATTCAAGTTTAGGTTTAGAGAATTGTGTCAGAATTGACACCATTATTGTTATAATATAGATTTATACAAAGTATAGTAAGAAGTATAGTGAAGTAAGAAAGTTTTATACAAAATAACCAGAATTTAACTGAAAAAATTACTTAGCGGTGAAGTGTGATCCCGAAGTGCCCTACATAATTGTTATCCACAATATTGTCCAGCTACAAATGGGACAATCATAAAAAGATAAGTGAGAATTTTATACCCTCAAATCTGCATTATTGAGAAGCGTCACATCGTAGCTGCAAGTACCTTCATATTACTAACATTTCAATTGCCAAATTCAATTGACAGTCTCAAATTCGAAAGTGACATCTGCTTTGTGTTGCCACATACAAACATTTTAGCCGTTTTTGGGAGAATCGTCGCACACTTAGAGCAACTATTTTTTAAAATTTCTACCGATCTTGATCGTGCTTGTTTGCTTTGCTTTTGGAGGGCTTTTACGCTTCGCACTGTATCGCTAGCATGCCGCCTACTAAAAATATGATTTGCGCAGGTTGTACGAAAAAAATAACTAACCGGGAATTTTTAACGTGTAGTATTTGTGATGGAGTATACGATATTGAATGCGTCAATTATTCCTACAAATTATTCACCCTTATGAGTAAAGACAAAAAAAATAATTGGCAGTGTCCGGCTTGTAGGAGCAAGGAAAAAAAGGTCGACAATACCAACACTCCTGTTCAGGGCTATCGTTTGCAAGCAAATCCTGGCTCGTCTGATAAGTCTTCTGACGAAGGCAACATAACTATTAGAAAATTGCCAATCAACAAACCAGCCAACATGTCACCGCCCTCTGTAACATCACCATTACCAGTTGACGATACTTTGTTGGAGACAATACGTCGAGAAATAAAGCGTTCTGTTGCAGAGTCTGTGGAGACTATGGTAAGGGGGTACTTTACAAAGGAATTCAATGAAATCAAGAAGGAGTTAGCCGCTTTGCGGGATTTGCAAAGCAGTATGGAGTTCCTTAGTGCCGAATATGACCGCGTAAAGTCTGATTTGAAGACCTCTGAAGAGAAGGTGAATTTGATAAATAAAGAAAATGCATCTCTGACGAGAACAGTGGATGATCTTACAAGTAGACTGAATCTCATTGAACAGTATTCTCGTGAAACGAATATCGAGATCAATGGCGTTCCTGAAAACAAAACTGAAAATTTGCTGACGATTGTCAGTCCATTGTGCTCTGTAGTTTCTGTTCCATTGCCAGAAACAGATGTTCTCACCACTACCAGAGTCAGAAAGATGAAAGAAGATAATGATAGGCCCCGATCAATTGTAGTAAAACTACAAACCACCAGGAAGCGAGATGAAATATTGGCTGCTGTATCAAAATTTAATAAAGATAATCAAGATGACAAACTTAACACTTCATCATTGGGATATGGTGGTAAAAGGTCACCAGTCTACGTATCTGAACATCTTTCCCCATATAATAAGGCGTTGCATGCAACTACAAGAAAAATAGCACATGAAAAGAATTACAAATTTGTTTGGATACGCAACGGAAGAATATTCGTACGGAAGGATGATAAGGCTCCTGCTAAACTTATCAAGAACTACGACTCTTTAGCTGGTTTATAATTTTTTTTTTCTGTTTGTGCCCTATTGCTTTCTGACCGTAATTAAGTTAAAAATTTCAATCTTTACTATCAAAATTTTAGAGGTATGAAGACTAAGACCAATGATATCAAATTGTCTTCTTTTCTTGATAACTATGACATTATTATTGGAACCGAGACATGGTTGGATGATACGATACACGATAATGAATTATTTGGAGCGAACTATCATGTTTATAGACGTGACCGTAATTGTAACTTAGGATATCAATTAATTGATTTTTTGTCTCTAAACAATTTATTTCAGTTTAACAATGTGAAAAACTATAATAACAAGACTCTCGATTTGGTTTTGGGTAATTTTAATGATTTGAGTGTTACAGAATGTCAATGTCCACTCAGTAGGCTTGATAGACATCATCCAGCCTTAGAAATAAGTATCAATGTACCTTTACAGTCTCACCATTTCTTAAAAAGTAAAATGTTTGCCACATACAATTTCAAAAAAGCTGATTATAATGATGTTAATTTAAAGCTAAGTAAAATTCACTGGCTAGCGGAATTGGGTCAAGTGCAGGATGTCGACGCTGCAGTAACTAGGTTTTATGCCATCATTCAACAAACCATCGAAGAAAGTATACCCAAGACACATGCACGGAATCTTAAGTACCCGGTCTGGTTTACTCGTAGTTTAATAAGAATGATAAGAGAGAAACATAAAATACGTATAAAGTATAAAACTTATAAAAACCCTAGGGATCGTTTGGAGCTGCGACTTTGCAGTCACCGCGTAAGGTCTATTATGTCGACATGCTATAAAGAGTACGTCAAGGATATAGAAATGTCAATAAAGCACACCCCCAAGAAATTCTGGTCTTTTGTACGTCATACTAAGGGTAATTATGATGGTGTTCCTGAACAGATGCACTTAGGAGATAAAATTGCAGACAATGGTGTGGGAATATGTAATCTTTTTGCGGCACACTTCTCATCAGTGTTTTCCTTGCCAGATAATTCTGAGTTTGTTGATCTTGGTGATCAATATCCTCAAAACATTCTTAATAGTGTAGAAGTAACCAAACAGCAGGTTTACAATGTTCTTAAATCTATTGATGCTAGTAAGGGAGCCGGGCCAGATGGGATTCCCCCCCTATTTATCAAGAGAACTTCAAAGTTTTTGGCACTTCCTCTTAAACTTATTTTTGAAAAATCTGTCACATCAGGTATATTCCCCTCTGAGTGGAAGCGTTCTCATGTTATACCAATATTCAAAAAAGGCAATAAAGAGGATGTAACTAATTACCGACCCGTGTCAATCATAAGTCAATTTGCGAAAGTATTTGAACGTATTATTTATCCCACTCTAACAAATTATTTCAAAAACTTTATAACAGATTCTCAACATGGATTTTGTAGTGGTAAATCGACTGTCAGTAATTTGATGGATTATACAACGGAACTAATTAAGTCAGTTGATGGTCGTTTGCAGGTAGATTCTGTATACACCGATCTTTCCAGTGCATTTGACAAAGTAGACCATGGGATACTTCTATCAAAACTGAAAGCTTACGGTATTCATGGTGACCTTTTGCGGTGGATAAGTTCGTACTTAAAGGACAGAATCCAAAGCGTAACGGTACATGGATATAAATCAGATGATTATGTCTCAATTTCAGGTGTGCCTCAAGGCTCCCACCTCGGACCGATACTTTTCTTGGCGTTTATTAATGATATATCTGTTTCCATCAAATATAGCAAATTTTCGATTTTTGCTGACGACTTAAAACTATACAGAGTTGTAAACAATCAGGAAGACTCTTCCCTGTTGCAGAGGGATATCGATGCGGTGGTTGGGTGGTGTAATGCTAATAAGATGAAACTTAATCCGCAAAAATGCACTCATATAAAATTTACAAGAAAAGAGACTCCTTTTGCATCTTATTATAGTGTTTCTGACCATAGATTAAAAGAATCGTCCAATATCCGTGACCTTGGGGTGTTATTGGATTCAAAATTGAATTTTGTAGATCATATTGATAGTGTTGTAACACAGTCTTGGAAAATGCTCGGTTTGGTAAAACGTGTCAGCAGGGATTTTAAAAACATTGATACCCTTAAAACCATATTCAATGCTCTCGTTCGCAGTAAATTGGAGTATGCTTCAAACATATGGAACCCCATCTATAAAGTGCATTCCCATAGGATAGAACGCGTTCAGAGAAAATTTACCCGTTACCTAGCTTATCGTAGTCGCGATTTTCCCCGGGATGCTGATTACAATACTCGTCTCCTTCACTTCAAAATGACGCCATTGGCTGACCGACGCAGACTATCTGATCTTATGACACTTCATAAGCTTATCAATGGAAAATTGATTTGTACAAATCTAATTAAACAGGTGAATATTAAAGTCCCTTATCGAATACCTAGACATCCGATGTCAAAAAGCTTTGATCTCCCTCGCAACAATACTAGACTTGGTGAGTGTGCTCCTCTATACCGGTGTATGCGTACCTACAATGATTTACAAGACTGCAGTGTCGACATTTTCCACAATACTGAGCGAGTATATAAGAGGTTGTTTGTGGAAAAAATAAAATTAGACCGTAACACAGACTAAATAATATTATGATTCAGTATACCTGTTTTTCACGATGGTGTATATATTTTTTTGTTTGTTTAATCTGTCATTGTAGTTTATTTGTATTTATGTGAATGTTGTATTCACCTATTAAAAAGCATATCTTTAAGTATGGTATTTATATATTTTTTCAAATTGTAATGTAAAATTATATGTTGTTGGTGAATCTTTGTCAATAAAATAAAAAAATAAAAATAAATAATAATGACATTATTCCGACGACGTCAATAAATAAATAAAATCAGTGCATCAACTCGTTGAAACTTGTTTTATTTAATGAGTGATGTGCGTGAAACCCTAAGAAACAAATTACATTATTACTACCTACATTTATTATTTCACTACTAAGTATTGTATCATTTATCTGCTTCTTTATCTATTATCTGTCTTTATAGGCGCGTATAGCGGCGTGCTACCCCGGGGCGGGACTATCAATGCCTCTCACCACGCAAGATATACTCGACGCGTTCTCTGACATCGCTCGTGAACATTAACACTTTTATATAGGTACAATACAGCGCAAAACATAATAAAATGAATATTTTTTGAAGTGAAAACTTCTTTAGCGACGTTGTACACTTTTTTTTGTATGGGTAAAAAATGTTAAACTCGCGTCAGGTTAAACACGTGGGCTGATCGCATCATGACACAATAAAATTGGAAAGGTTGTTGACTTTCAATATATTGGGTGAAACGTAGTAACATTTTATTTTATCGTTTATAATGTTTCTATGTAGGACGTCCACGTGGCAGTTTTATTGCGAAGAAAATGCTTTTTTTTACAATAGATGTCGCTAAGTGCGCTTAAACGTGATTCATGTAAGTTGATTTTTCTGAGAGATAAACTTTTTTAATGTCATATAAATTGTCATGTTTGTGTACGATAGCGCAATAAATAAATATTGTATTCTACCACATACATGATAGTACTTTTATACTGATAATTAAATCAATTCGTGCAAAAATATTCCAAAACCATTCCAAAATATCAAAAATGCACAACGTTAATATTCAAGTTTTCACTTCTGCCGGCACTCCCGGAGTGCAACCCGTCGTTTTTTTTTTGTTTTATTTAGGGAAGATTTTTCAATTTTTGTATATTGTTATTTATCATATTTATCAAAATAAATACCAAGGTAAAGACGAATGTCTATATGAAGATTGAAAAACCAGCCCTTAAGCATTTAACTAACCAAAGAATTTTTTTACTAGACTAGTTCCTGTAGTTATAATGCCAAGTTAAATTCGAACCAGTAGCCAGCCTGTTAACCAATTCATGTGTTCCAACCATTGTCAATCAATGAATTATATTATGGCAATATTCGCCTGTACAGCAATGGGTGCTGTTTCAAATGAACTCTGCAAGGAAAGTGGGTTTATTTCTAGAAAAAATGTTCTTTGGTTATGGAACGTTTTTATTTACAGACATCTGTAATTTATCTAGATGTAAGTGAATATTGTTAATTTATTAAAAATATATAAAAATGTTTAAGATTAAGTTGTTTTATTTTGACACTGTTGTCGATTTTGGTGTGATTCTCTAAACTTAAAACTAAATTTAACATCGGTCTCTCCTTTTCATTCTCTATAAAGAACGACAAGGATACACTGTTGTCAAATTTAAGTTTAGATTTAGAGAATCATGCCAGAATCGACACCATTGTTTCGTAATATTGAAAATCATAAGTTTTGATAAAATTTCAGGTAGGCCAGAATTTATAAAGCTGTATTAAGGTAGCAGTCTAAAATATCTTGAGGGATAGTACCTGTTTCGTGTGGTTCGCGTCTGTAGGAGCTACCTAACCACATACCACTAAAACATCTCCTTCATAAAGGCAAGCAGTGCCGTCTTTGACCTATTAGAGACCCTGGGCATATTAGGATAATGGGGCCCCTAGTTTGGTGATTTAACAGAAACTAGGGGCTTTGTATTTGATCTGAGTGGGCCCCCTATCGATCGCGGGGCCCTGGGCACTTGCCCAAAGTGCCCACTGGGAAAGGGGGGTCTGAAGGCAAGTCTCGATGGTAGCTCCGACCACTCACCTGTCCTACTTACGGTTATTTCAGTGGCTATACCCAGTGACTCCCATACTGATCATCTTTACAATCGCAAAACCGACTGGCAATACTTTCGGGAGTTCCTCGAATCAAACATCTGCATTCATGTTTCCCTTAAAGCCAAGGAGGAAGTGGACGACGCATGCCTCTTTGTCACTAACCTTATTCAAATGGAGGCTTGGTCGAGTACTCCTAAGCTAAAGGACTCATCGTGAGGGGCGGCGGTTCCTCTTGCTTTTAAGTAAAAAATCGCCGCAGAACGTCGCTTCCGCAGAATTTGGCAAACAACCCACACAAGCGAGGATAAAACCAGACTAATTCGAGCAATTAAAGAACTTAAAGACTTGTTGGACTATACTTCAAACGAATCGCTCACACAGAGACTGGCGAAAATGTCTCCTAGTGCAAATGGGACCCAGAACCTCTGGAAGGCAAAAAGTACAGTGTTCTGCACCTATTATCCGATTAGAACCGCTAACACTTGGGCTAGAATTGACCAAAAAAATCTCAGGCCTTTGCTATATACCTAGCCTGGATATTTAAACCCAACAATACGGATAGTCCAGAAGATCCAGAAATAGAACAAGTCCTAAAACAAGACTATATAACTATGCCTGCCCTTAAAACCTACTTCACCTAGGGAAATGGCTAGAGAAATAGCCAAAATAGCTATTACAAAGCACCTGGTTTTGATCTAATCACACCCCGGCTATTGAAAGATCACCCTAAGAAATGCATTGTCATTTTGACCATCCTTGTCAACGAAAACACTGAGAACCTCGTACGTCCCTACACTCTGGAAAACATCACAAATTGTTATGACCCACAAGCCTGGTAAGCCGCCTAACGCAGTCATCTTGTCGCCCTATAAGCCTGATGCCTGTATTGTCAAAGTTGTGGGAAAGGATCATCCTTGCACGATTATTCCCTTGCCATGTAATACTCGACCATCAATTTGGCTTCCGGAAGCACTATTCGACCACAGAGCAGGTACACATAGTGTATTGCACAATAAGACAATGCCTGGAGATTGAGAGTTGTAGCAGGCCTTTGATCGGGTCTGGCATAAAGGACTACTCTGCAAAATTAAAAAGTTCCTTCCTTCCACAGAATGCTTCAAGTCAAGCTCCGAGATCGTCTCTTTTTAGCTGCAAAGCTGGAGTACCCCAGGGCTCTGTACTTGGTCCGGTCCTGTACAATGTATTTACTAGCGACCTACCCCAGTCACCAGAAACAGCTGTAGCAACCTTCGCCGATGACGCGGCCTTTCTCAGCTGTAACACTGATACAAATGAAGCAACCAGACTTGCAAACTTAGCTTGATGTCACTAATGCTTGGCTTACCAAGTGGCGCATAAAAGCGCGTGCCCTAAGTCCCACCACATCACATTTACCCTGAGACGTGAAAGTTATCCTCCTGTCAATCTGGGCATTGACACATTGCCGCAATCAACCTGTGTAAAATATCTTGAATTTTACCTGGACAGAAGGATGACATGGAAAGACCAAAGAAAGCGTTATCCTTATCCAACAAGCTAAGGGTATATTGCTCCATAATAAAACCAATCTGGACATATGGAATCCAACTGTGGCCGTCAGCCAGCAAATCCAGTATCATTAGCCTTCAGACAGCTCAAAACAGTAATAAAAATACCCTTAAAATGTATTTTCATCGGACTCCTTGGACGCACGCAACTCTGAAATCAAAGAGTTCATGGAAATCCCAACCATATTGGACGAAGTAAAACGATCCACAACCAACTATAAGAATCGCATCACCCAAACCCGTTACCCAATATGATCTGGAAGCCAAACACGACTAAAAGACTTAAGCCCGTATTACAGAATGACAACCAAGTGTTGATCTTTACTTGAGTACAGTTAGAAAGGGATATCGCTATGTGCTATATATAGCGACATCCCTTCTAATTATGCTCAAGACTAGATCAGGCACTGAGAATCTTTCTTTAATACGGGCCTAAGAGAGCCGATGTGATAACTTTTTTTAGGGGAGACGGAGCAGTGGCTCAACCTCGCCAAACCACAACCTCTTGCAACTCACCTGATTATAGTCTTACCAACGACTGATCCCAGGTTTAAACACGGAAAAATAGTCTACAACTTTCCCTTTAAAAAATATATATTGCATCAGAATTGAAATAAAAAGAAACCCCAAATGTTGCAATTGATTTCTATTTATTCAAACAGCCTAAGATTATATTATAATTTAAAGATTTTTCGCAAGCTTTTAAAATAATCTTGTCAGCGAGTGGTTTAAATACGTGATGCAGTTCTGGATTCCACTTCAGTGTTTATAAAAGCTTGGTTGCTCCAACGAAGTGAAGGTGCTTAATCCAGAGATGCAGGCGGAGAGTAGTTCAGGTATACCAGTCCACTTGTCTTGGCCTGCAATAATAAAGAGTTACGTTTTAAGTAAATTTTACTAGATTTTTTTTCTTTTAAACATCTAGCAATTAAATGCTTTAAACACTATATAAAGAGTTACATTATTAATAATGCTGAATGCTGAGGAGCTTGATGCCACAACTGGTTAGCGCGTTCAAGTTAAGCAATTTTCGTAATGGTCGTTCATAGGATGGGTGATCAAAAATTTACTATCTCGAGTTACTTCGTGCTTCGGAAGACACATTATGCCGTTGGTTCAATCCGCACTGGGCCCGCGTGGTGAGTCTTGGCCCAATCTCCCTATTCCATCCATAGGGAAGGCCTGTGCCCCAGTAGTGGGGACATTGATAGGCTGAGGCTGATGATGATGATGCATACTGAACATTTGTAGCAAGTTGTTTAGAAGGTGCTCTCATCTGGCATGATGAAAGGTGGCAAACTAGCATTTGGTCAGGATAATGGTAAATGGCCGCCATTGCTTATAGACGTTTGCAAAACAGTACCGTGCTTGCAAATTGGCTATCCTTACTTCATTTCCTAACCCTGCAGAATCCTGGAATCTTATTTATCAACAGAATCACAGCACCACACAGGGTTTTTACCCAAAGGCAGGCATTCTTATGCCACTGAACAAACACATTTCGATGTTGAATAATAATAGATATAGCACTTTTTGATTGGACTGCAAAGTATGGTTCAAGTTTTAGCTGGTGACTGAGAAAAGTTAAATCTGACTAGGGGATCAGATCATAAGTAAGTCACACGTTAACCACGAAATTAGTGGGTGTACCATATGGATGACTCCCAGTTAAAAAAACGAGCGAGCCTTACAGTAGTCGCTTATGATGTGTAACATTTGAAACCTCACCTTATATTAGTAAAAAAAGAAATAAAACCTACTACAAAAGGAATAAGCCATTTGTACATTATGTTCTAAAATCATATCAAATAGCGCGCGCTTTCGCGACTTCCTGTTACACACTTCCATCCCATTTCACAAAATCAAATCACTCACGGTTACCAACTTAGGGGTTTTGCCCCCAGATTTAGGGGCTAGAAGTTAAACGGACTTTTTTTAGGGGCTGGAATTTTTTGGGGGTTCTTTTAGGGGCTTTTATCAAAACTTGCAATTAAAAAACAAAGCGTGTGTTTTCTTTCAGTTTTGTGCGTAGAATGGAACGCACCACGATATGAAACGACTGATCTGACTGTGTGGCGGGTAGTTTCCTAAGGCCTAAAGTTACAAAAACAGGTAAATAAGATTTAACAGCCTGTCAGCTCATTTTCGTTTGATTGTCCTTTTGGAAACTGTATTTATTCAATAAAATAATTTACTGTAACTAAATATGTAACGTTTTAATTTATGAGCAACGAAAGTATTCGGGTAATAAGTAGGTATTTAAAAAATGTATATTTAGGGGATTTTAAAAAAGATTTAGGGGAAAAGTTTGGTAAGGGTTGGTAACACTGAAATCACTCCCGTAAATTGCAGGAAAGCGAGAGGAGAGATGTTACACATCAAAATTTCTTTGAATACAAGCAGTGTAAACTCACAACGACTATCGTGGCAGCGCAGAAGCCGATGCCGAGGACCAAAGCGGCGTTGTACCTCCGCTGGTTGGCGTCGTACTGCGCCTGCCACGAGCCGCGCGGCACCGGCAGATCGTCCATGGTCGGTGGCTTGAAGTGGCCCTCGCCCGCGTGGTAGCGGCGAGCTGAGATACAAACATTATTTAAAACAATAAAATGATGTGGTGTCGTGGGACACCAGGTAGGAACGAAGTTGAGTATATACTATGCATTGGCGGGGTGGAGTGGTAATAGAAAGAGAAGGGATGAGAGAACGAAAAGAAAGAGGGAGAAAGAGAAAGGTATTATACACTACTCGCTTGTGTATGCGACTGTCGCGCCTGCGCACGTCTCATTTAACGGTTTTTTTCCACGGATTTTTTCTTACGGTTTTACTATCACATTTTTTTCAGTTCAGTCGTGCAGCAAAATCCCTATCCCCTCCAAGCCTGCCGTAAGGAACTTCGTTCCAAAAATAAAATCCAACACACAACAGCCTAACCCCAAAGTAAGCACTGAGGGCTCGTATTCATCACATAAATATCTGCCCCCAGGGGCTGTTCAAGTATTACGTAAGCACTATAGGGGGGCAGGGGGGTCTTTGCTTTGCTTATTTTTGATAACATGGGGGGGTGGGGGGTAGAGATGGTGATTACGTCAGCATCATCATACCACTCGTCCACAGAGTTCGTCAAATATTACGTGATGCCAGCAGTTGGCACTTGGCCACTTGGCTATTTGTTTGCTTTTGTAAATTTTACAACAGTCTGTGCTTAACATGCTTTATGATGAATGAAAAAGATTAACAGTACCCTTAGCATGAACCAATATTGAATTCGTAACATTTGCAAGTCCGAAATGTCATTGTCAAATGTGTTAGATTTCTTATGATAGAGACCGATTTTTAGTTCTTGTTACGTACTTTGTGGGGATGCTGTTCAAGTTTCCATAAAAAATTTGATATTGACATTTCGCACTCACAAACTATTGGAATTCGATAATGGTTCATGCTAGGGGTACTTATGTCAAGTTTACAAATAGCAGACACAAATAGCCAAGTGAAGTGCATCATAAAGTTAAATAGTGCAAACTGCTATAAAAACAAAAGTCTGCACAATCACCAACATGTAAGAAAGATAATAAAATATTATAACTGTAATCATATTATAGAAGTTGCATTTCTTAGTTGCTTATTTCTCTTCTTTAATAACGAAGAGCAATGATTGGTGGTGGATGTTTCCACTAAGGCAGACAAACTAGAGTGGATCAGAGCACTTTACTAGTGCGGCCAGGTGATGAGATTGTAGCCGTTCATACAAGACGCATAAATTTTTAGTACCTCACCTGGTACCGCCTACCACTTCGCCAAGTTAATCAATGTATGATATTTCAGAAAACCAAATAAACTTTATATTAAGAAAAGTTAGATGACTCTATCTCATATACCAAGACTGGTCTTTACTGCATTGATGTACATTTATTATTACATTACTTATGAACATTCAGATGACAATGCTTTTCTATACCACCTATTTACAATAGCCGGCTCAGCTTTCCATTAGCTGTAGTTGAGTTGCGAGCTGAAATTTTTGTCACGCAAAGTATTAATTATTAGAAACGTGAACCTAAATGAAATCTTTTTAGGCGGAAATGAATAGATCTCGAGAAAAAAAAATTGAAAATTAATATTTTTGTAGGTTATGAGTCAATTTTGACAGCAATTTTGATCAGTGCTGCCATTTTTTCATGCGTCAGTCGGGGCGACCTTTCCCTCCCCCCACATCAAAACTACCATGAAATTCAACCACAGCTAATGGAATCAAGTACCTAATAGCCACATCATTCCATTATAAATATTCCCCAATTCCCCTTTCATTTCATTTGTGATTGTTATTGTAGTCTGGTTAGGCATGCCTACCAAATTTAAAAATTAATGATAAATCCAAGGTAAAAATTGTAACTTTTAAAGAGATTAACTTATTAGCATTCAAACTCTTTAGTTAAAAATCAGGCAGAATAAAACTGTTAGTTATGGTCACTTGACATTGTCACTTAAGAATTCGTGATGTATGAAGAAAAACTAATGTCATGTAACGTTGTGATAATTTTCCTTAAATAAATAATATGCGCACAAAGCTATATATTATTAATAGGTTATGGGCCGCATCACCCACAAAAGTGCAGAAAAGAATGAAATGAGATAAAGAAAATAAATAAATATTATTTATCGAAAAAGTAGAACAGAATTTGTAAAAAAAAAAAAAAAAGAAAATGGCTGCTAGTACGACAAATTTTCCGCAGCTACATGCTGAAAATTACAACAATTGGCTTTTTAGAGTACGTTGCATATTAGAAGAAAAAGGTCTAAATGAAATAATAAATGATACAGAAACAAAAAGTTCTGATTTTTCGACTAAAGATGCAAAAGCCAAAAATATTATCGTACATTGTTTGCCAGACAAATATTTGAACATTATTAAAGACTGCGCTACGGCCTTCCAAATGCTAGAAAGAATAAATGATACATTTCATAGAAAAAGTGTCATAACGAAAATTCACTTCAGAAGAAAATTATTAAATATAAAACATAGTAATACGGAAAGATTAGAAGAATATTTTTCGAGATTCGATGATATAGTCAGAGAGCTACAGTGCGCGGATGAAAAAATTAGTGAGATGGATAAAATATGCTATTTGTTGATTGGATTAAGTGAAAAATATGATAATGTAATTACAGCGATCGAAACATTGAGCAATGAAAACCTAAAATTAGAATTTGTTAAATCAAGACTATTAGACGAGGAACTGAAAATGACAATGGCAAAGTCAAATGAAAACTCCAAATCAGATGACACAGCTTTCATCACATGCTATCGATGTAACAAGCACGGACATATAGCATCACAGTGCAGAGGCAGAGGTCGAGGTAGATATAGCAGACGTCAGACGAATCAACGTGGTAGAGGTCACCATGATTATGAAACGAGACAGGATTATTTAGCAGCTACCACCGCTTTCAGCTTCATCACTTCAACAGAATACTGCAATACATCGTACAAAGTTGGAGAGATAGAATGGGTAATCGACTCAGGTTGTACGGATCATCTTGTTCAGGATAAATTTGAGAATAGTATGAGTAACATCGAAAATTTAGAAAAAGAGGTAAAGATTCATATTGCTAATGGAGATTTTCTTATAGCTAAAAAGGTAGGTGAAATTAAATTGTTGGCCAATGGTCATATTACAGCTCTTAAAGCATTAATTGTGAAAAACTTAAAATTTAACTTATTATCTGTAAATAAAATTCTAGAAAATGGTTATACTGTTAATTTTAACAAAGATAAAGTTTATATAAATGATAGGAGGTCTGGTAAATTTCTGGTTGGTCTAAAGCAGGGTAAATTATTCACTCTAAATACAGAACTTGCTCTTAGTGCAGGAACTAACTCTGACTATCTATGGCATAGGCGCTTAGGACATCTTAACCGACGTGGGTTGAAGATACTCAAACTTCCCGTAAGCAATGAGGTATGTGGACCATGCATGCAAGGTAAAGCTACTAGATTACCTTTTATTCCAGTAGCAAGACCAAGATCTCGAGCTATAGGTGAATTGATTCACACTGACATAGCAGGACCAGTGAATATTCCAGGAATATACGGACATCTGTACTATCAAGTAATAATTGATGATTATTCGCATTTTTTAGTGGTCAGTCTACTTAAGCACAAAGGAGAGGCAACAAACAATTTGATAAATTATATAAACAAAATTGAAACACAGTATGGGGCAATAGTAAAGAAGATTAGATGCGACAACGGAAAGGAATTTAGAAACAATACTTTAGAACATTTTTGCAAAAATAAAGGTATAGATATTCAATACACGCAACCATACTCACCACAACAAAACGGAGTCTCTGAACGCATGAATCGGACACTGTATGACAGAGCTAGAACCCTAATGGTAGAGTCATGTTTACCTAAACATCTATGGAGTGAGGCAATAATGGCGTCAGCATATCAAATCAACAGATGTCCTTCATCGACAATAAATTTCAGGACACCAGCCGAATTGTTTTTAGGCAGCAATGATCTTAGCAGATTACGTGCATTCGGAAGTAAAACATGGGCTGTAATTTTACCAAGAAGATCCAAATTTGAGCAAAGAGGTCGAGAGTTACGAATGGTAGGTTACTCAAACAATGGTTATCGTCTATGGAATCCAATGAATAATCAAATCGTAGAATCGCGTGATGTTCGTTTTGATGAGAGTGATGTGACATTTAAGGAAAGTAAAGATAATAAGAAAGAAGACACAATATGGACTGAGGAAGAAAAAGTAGAAGAAACAGAAGAGATAAGTAAGGAAGGAGCTTCACATGAACAAGATAGAGAAGAAAATGATAAAAAAATTGTAGAAGAGAGAACTGAAGAAAGTATCAATGAAAATGAAACAGAAATAGAAGAATTAAAGAAAACTAGATCTGGAAGACTTTGTAAAACACCAACGTATCTACGAGATTACGATTGTGACGAAGACGTAGTAAATGAATATGAAAGTAATATTGCTTATTGTTTAATGACAGATCCTCAAACGTATGAAGAAGCAATTGAAGGAGGAAAGGAATGGCAAGATGCGATTGAAAGTGAACTTAATTCTTTGAAACAGTTAGATACATGGGAAGAAGCAACATTACCAAAAGGGAAGAAAGCTATTGATACCAAGTGGGTTTTTCGAACAAAACAAGGAGGAAAGAAGAAAGCTAGATTAGTGGCTAAGGGTTTTCAAACAGAAAATAGATATAATGTTTACTCCCCTGTTGCTAGGCTGTCTACATTAAGGATGATGTTTTGTTTAGCAGTGCAAGAAAACTTACCTATGAAACAACTTGACGTACCCACAGCATTTTTGAACGGACATTTATCAGAGGAAGTGTATATAAAACCACCAAAAGGAGTAAAGATTAATAAAAACAAGGTCCTTAAATTGAAACGTTCATTGTATGGTCTTAAAGAAGCACCGAAATGTTGGAACGAGAGATTTCACAACTTTATTATTTCCCAAAATTTCGAAAGCTCTAAATATGATTTTTGTCTGTACACAAGTTCAAAAACGTGGATACTTATCTGGGTAGATGACATTATTGTGATGGGAGATTATGAACCAATAATAATTGAACTAAGAAAAGAATTCAACGTGAAGGAGATGGGAGATATCAGTGAATATTTAGGAATGGAAATATCAAGGAAAGAAGGAGAATTGGCAATTAAACAAGAAAAACTAGTGAAGAAGGTATTATCAAGGTTTGGAATGGAAGACTGTAAGGGAGCATTAACACCCATGGAAGCTAACATAAATTTAGAAGAAGAAAAGATAAATGATGTGCCTTACAGAGAGCTTATAGGATGTCTTACGTATATATCAACTACTACTCGTCAAGATATAACATTTGCAGTTTCGTTTCTCAGTAAATACTTAGATAAACCTACAAGATCTATATGGACAGCAGCAAAGCGTGTACTTCGATACCTAAAGTCTACATCTAGTAAAGGACTGCTATACACACAAGGAGTGGATGATAAAAATAAGCTCGTAGCATATAGTGACGCAGATTGGGCATCCGACAAAGCCGATAGAAGAAGTGTGAGCGGATGTGCTATATTCTATTCGGGTAATCTTATTTCTTGGTTTACCAAAAAGCAGAACACTGTTTCTCTATCGTCTGCAGAAGCGGAATATATAGCGGGAGCAACAACAACGGCTGAGATAATATATCTGCAAGGTATTCTCAACACATTTATGTGTAAGGATGTTCACACTTATCTGCTCATAGATAGTCAAAGTGCAATTCGCATGATAGAGTGTAACGAAAACAGCAAACGCACTAAGCATATCGATATAAAGTTCCATTTTGTCAAAGATGCTTTTATCCAAAAGAAATTTAGAATGTCATATGTTTGTACTAATGATAATGTAGCGGATATATTTACAAAACCTCTCAATTCTGTAAAGCATGCCTACTTTGTTAGAAAGTTAAAAGTTGAGTAAAAATAAGTGTTATATATAGGTTGTTCTAATTTGGTGTTAAGTTATAGGTGCTGTTAATAAATTGAGTTAAGTAGGTAGTGGTAATTTTATGTTATGATTTTTATTTGAGAGGAGGCTTTGTTTGTTTAAGTATGTAAATATTAATAACTATTAGCAATATCAAATTGTTTGCAATTTAACATTGAGAGGAGGTGTTAGTTATGGTCACTTGACATTGTCACTTAAGAATTCGTGATGTATGAAGAAAAACTAATGTCATGTAACGTTGTGATAATTTTCCTTAAATAAATAATATGCGCACAAAGCTATATATTATTAATAAAAACTGAAATAATTAAAAAGCTTGTTTAGTAATTGCGTTCAAATTAGTTAAATTTTAATACATTTTGAGGTTAGATAAGAGTATTATGTAACACTGTATTGATTATTATTGAAGACTAACTATTGAATAGAGACAAACAAAATACGATAGCCTGTCTAATAAAAAAAAAGAATAATTGTAAATAATTCAGAATCAGACAAAATAAAGCTGAAAAGTTAAAATCGTAGTTTTTTTTACCTGTTTGTTGCATGAAACGTGAAACAATTTGTCGTGAGGCGAACATTTTTGGATAGTTTACACTGTTATATTTAAACGTAAAAATTAATAAAACAGGAAAACGCGAAATATTTTCCGTCGATCAACCTGAATGAGAACCTTTGAGAAAACTTGCTCTCTTTTCAATTCATTATATTAGGCATAAGACACATCACAACAGTCGCTATCGAGTATCGACTCGATAATATCGATATTGATATATAGTATTATATTTTTGGTATAAAGTATGAAAGGCAATCAACGCATGCTTAAAATTATATTACACGACAATTTCAGTGTGTCCCCGCTGAAATTGGCGAAATAAGTAAGAAAAATACTACGACTGCAGAATAATTTCATGTTTTCAAAGAAATATCACAATTCCTGTAGGGCCAAAACACATAGAAGCCGGAGATGCGCTAGTGTGTGCAGTTGTGTCTTTTTTTTACAAAATTGGCGCGTGAAGTTACTCCATACACTATAAGAAATACAACGCAACTCCAGTGTGTCTGTGTAGTCTTTTATACTAATTCAAACTATACAAAAAACCGCCTCCGCCTCCGACTTCTGGCCAAAACACAAAACGCTCTTTATCACACAAATAAGCCAATTTCGAAATTAGTTATGCCACTGCTTCTTAGCAACATTGGAAACATGCTATTTTTACTCTTCAATTGGTGATGAAAATCGGACTCCCCTACAAAATTTTTAATTGACTTGGGTCAAGTTCAATTTTGTAAAATTCTTAAATGTGCTGCTGACAGCCTTTTCTAATAGCATTAGCACACCGTTGATACTATCTGCCGTAATAAAAAACCTTGACTAAAGTTAAACTTGTTTTAAAACAGACGCTGTCACTTTAGCTTGCTAAAAAGAAGACAGAGACAGCATCAAATTTAATCCATGACTAACTTCAAACCGCGTTTTGGAATAAAGCGGTTTGTGTTTCTATATTTGGTTAGTAGCAAAATGTCGTGGATGCTTTTATTTTAATAAATAAAATGTTGGATTTTTTTATTATACCCATTTCATAAATGTTTATACTAATAACCACAAAATGTCGATATCGATTACGCACAAGTCACAACTCTCAATATTGTCTACGAAAGTACTGCCAAAGTGACAGTTATTTAAAATAGTTTTAAACTTCTTTCGTCACACAGAGGCAAAGGGCTTATTATCCGTACAGCCAAGTCTTCTAAGTTTTAGTAAAACGTGTGTAATTAATGCTGTAAGAAAGTTAGGATGCATTTTTATAAATAAAAATAAGTACACGCAACTTATGTAGGTGCGTGAGAAGTTATCCTTCTTTGGCATCGTTTAAAATTAGTTTTTAATTGCATGCAAATAATTAATTACAATAAATTAATAAAAAGTCTGGAAAAGGACACAGTCAATAAAGTTCAGTTTTAATTTGAAAAAAAAAAAATCAAAATATTCAATTAAAATCGCTACTGAATATAATTTATTAGAACATATGTGATTTGCACTTGTATGAAACTCAAACACGTATTCCGAATATACAAACTAGAAACATGTGGATAAATATTATAAATATGAATACCTATAACTGTTACTTTATTACAAAAAATAAAGATGTGGTTTTTGGTTCTACTACACCAATGTTCAAGAGATGGCGCTGTAGTCTCCTGAATCGCGCTTTGGTTCCGTTGTTCCAGATTAATAAATACTTTTTGTTACTTTATTACAAAAAATAAAGATGTGGTTTTTGGTTCTACTACACCAATGGTCAAGAGATGGCGCTGTAGTCTCCTTAATCGCGCTTTGGTTCCATTGTTCCAGATTAATAAATACTTTTGATAGGCCTTCACAATGCAGTCGTTAGCACCCACAAAATAGAGATTCTATTTCTATTTTGTTGGTAGATTTTCTTAATGTGCGGTAAACACAAAAGTAACAGCATGAAGTTGGTCGCTTTAGCTGTTGTTAATTTTTTGTGTTACAGTGATGCGCGCGCATCTTAAAATTTCACTCTCATCATTTTTTCATAACGCGCCTAAAGAAGTATAACTTCAAAAAATCTATAGAAGAAACTTAAAAAGAATAAAAAACCTATAAAAAGAATTCTTTTCCCGAGATTTTGAGGATCAAGACAAATCTTTAAATACAGTGGTGCTTTCGATGAATTTAAACAAAAGGATTTTATCTACCTAGTGCACACTCACATTTATTAAGCTGCCGCCTCGCAGTAGATACAAGGTAGACCTTGGACTAGTAGTACGCTACTTACAGGTCGCGGGTATGTAACTCTAGCGCTGAACAAAACCCGCGCACCTCGTTTCCCCCCAACACAACTTAATTTTCATTTCTGCGCAATAACGGTCAGCGCTAGAATTTCGTGCCGCGACTTATACTGCGGTTCAGCTATTAGTACTTCTTTGTCACTCAGGACTCCTGATATTTCATCACATAAGCCAGCCAGCCCCCACCTCGTGGAACCCCCGGAAATCCCTGGAGACCTTGCTTAGATCACCGATATCAACACAATAGGTACCAACAAAAAGAGAATAGGTGAATTGCCGTTGTGCCGTACTGGCTGTATATTTCAAATCCATTTTTTTCTTTTTCGCTAAAAATTCTAAGTTCAAAAAATCTTTTCAAAGAACTCTCCACCAGCCTCTATACAAAGTTTCATGAGTCTGATCCAATTTCCAAAAAAAAAAACTCCAGTCCTCCGCAGACACCTCATCCACGGCCTTCTCTAACGCTGCTAGCGCTTCTTCCGACGATGAAAACTGTATCCCTTTGAGCTGATTTTTTATTTTAGCGAATAAAAAGAAGTCACACAGAGTCAAGTCAGGACTCTAAGGAAAATGTCCCATGACTCTAACTGGTGTGGAGTCCAGTCCTTCGTTTTGATCGCAGAGTGCACGAGCGCGTTGTCGTGGTGAAGAAGGACTTCGCTGAGCCCGGTGTTAGGTCGCTTGTTGCTCATTGCAGAAAAAACTTCTGGCTATACCATTCGACGTTGATGCTGCTTTGGTCTTGAAGTGAAATTGAAATTAGGTACCCCGTCAAAGTTAAGAAACTAGCGATCAAAATTTTTCCTGCGCTCCTGGATCGCTTCACTTTCGTAGGCGTTGGTTCATTTTGAAACAGCCAAACTGTCGACTGACGCTTTGTTTCTGGATCGTATTGATAAATCCAGGATTCGTCACCTGTCACAATATGGTAAACGCGCCGTGACGAGCCTGCATCAAATTTTTGTATCATATCACTGCACCAATCCACACGGGCCAGCTTCTGAGCTTCAGTGAGGTTGTGCGGCATCCAGCGGGAAAGTACCCTCCTTACGCAAAGGTGCTCGTGCAAAATCTTGTAACACTTCCTAAATCAATCGGTAAAGTATGCTGAATCTCTTCGTGCGTAATTCGTCTGTTTTCTTGAATTATTTTTTTTTACTGCCAGCACACTTTTTTCGGTGGCAGCCGTCGCAGGACGACCACACCAGTCCTTTGTTCATCCCCCAAAGTAAGACGACCGCGTTTGAACTCGCTACACCAGCGGTAGATGGTTGCTTTTGAAGGTCCTTCATCCATAAAAGCAGTTCGAAATCGATCAAATGACTTATCAAATTTTAAGCCACATTTAAAATCGTAAAAAATCATAGCACGAAAATGTTCTCGAGGCGGATCCATTTTTTAATACGAGAAGAAAAAAAATGCGGAGGGTAAAAATCGAACACTGGCATTTTTACTTTTAAATAATCGAAGTTTTCAAAATAATTACAGGTGGCCAGTGTCTTAAGGATTTGCCACACTGGATGCGTTCTGCGGTCTGCGGTCAGGTCAAAGTGAACGCTGCCCGCATTATGTATAAACAATATTGTTGGTCAGAGCAATCCGTCAGCGGTCCGGGCAGGGAAACCTGTCAGCGATGCGGGCATGGCAAACAGCGGCATTAGTCTGCGTGAATCAGTGGTGATCAGAGCCCGTAGCCAAGTTGTATTCGGTAAGATATCTAACTTCGTCATCGTATAAAAAATGTATGGGATTGACAATTGTCTTCGACGGCGTTGTCGAACGGAAACGTCAATCCCATACATGCCCTCTGACCGCGCCGCCCGCTGCCCGCTGCCCGCCTACCTGCCCGTACGCGTCCCTGCCTTCCCCCGCGTTCTTTGATCATGCTCGCACGGTCGGATCGCATATCTTATACAAAATATATAGAGACCGACAATATTGTTCATACATAATGCGGGCAGCGTTCACTTTGACCTGACAGCAGAACGCATTCAGTGTGGCAAATCCTTTATACATAAAAACTTTTTCTCGCGTAGGGATAGCGTGCATTCGGGCTACAAATATTAGGAATAATGTTCTTTACAGATATAAGTGATTCGGGGTTTCAATTATTGGTATTAAGTATAACAGTCCATATTTTTTATTTTTTTAAACATGTATATTCTCGATGTTTAAATCTTAAGAAAATATAACTAGAAAAACATCCACGCGTACCAGGCAGCAGACGGGACTCGGACCCGCACCCTCCGCTTTCCGGGCGAATACACTACTCTATTATGCTACGGCGGCCCTGACAGCCGTGTCGAATTTTCACTAGCCTTTCTTAAGTTCCAAAGCAGCGCCATCTCTTCGCGTTGTAGGCAGACCCCTCTTTCCCAGTGGACACTTTGGGCAAGTGCCCCGCGATCAATAGGGACCTCCCTCAGATCAAATACAAAGTCCCTAGTTCCTGTCAGATCACCAAACGATAACCAATATTTATTACCGAAAAACTTATATTAAAAACAATACCAACTCACTAGCTTTTACATAAGCGAGGCTATTCTACTCTCGCCCAAAAATTAGGCTGTTAGGCTTCAGCATGCTTAGATAAATTTAAATATACATATAATGGTACTCAAGCACATACACATTTTAAAGAAAAATCATCAGTAGTACACACATCAGTATTACTCGCTCCATTTCAAGTCATAATCCACATCAAAGTCATAGGGGCCCCATTATCCTAATATGCCGAGGGCCTCCAATAGGTTAAAGACGGCCCAGGTTGTAG